ATCTATGAGTGCATTTTCTTTTTTTTCATTATAATATTGTTCTTGTCGATCATAGACACGGTGTAGGTGTTGGTTGATGCCCTTTATTTCTTCCTTTATCACTTCTGTGTAGTACGGTGTGAGTAATATATTGAATAAAAAGTAGCTATAGATCATACATACCGCAGACGTCGACGACCAAGTTCTCTTGCGACACATGGCCAATAGGAACGTATCCTAGTAGCTCCTTCGCGTATGATGCTGCTGCTAAGGCTGCATATCCTTGCCACTGATTGTTCTTGTGCTCATCGGCGTAATCACAAACACCACGGATGACAATACAAGGGAAGTCCACCATCAAGCCGGCTGCCTCCATCTCAAGGCATAATGCCCCAGTGTCTAGCCTGATCTGCTCGCGTGTGAGTCCATCCTTAATAACCGCATTTCCAGACGCGATAATGCCATAGTGGGCTTGTGGGTCACGAGTCTCACGCTGACTACGTGTCTCTTCCCACTCCACTAGACATCCATCACACGTGCTCGCAGCCGCAGGATGATTGTGTTCAAATTTAAACAGTCGGTCCTCTTGTGGTCGTTCGAAAGTTTTTCGAGTGCGTGCGGTTCTCCCCATCGCCTTAAGAAGATACTTAGGGTACTGAGGATCATCCGTGAGCTCAGCGGCCCTCGTCAAGTTGACGGCTGCAAGCAGGGCCCTCGGAGGGCTGTTTAAAGAGCCGGTGCGGTGGAATCTCCCTCCGGCCACAACCTTCCCTATATCATATTGAATCACGCCCCCACATCCGTTCTCTGGGCAGCTAATCACGATATCGCCAAGCCGGATATCATGAGTAGCCGACGGGATTCCACCACCAACACCGACCATCAGCCCAATACGGAGCGATTTCGAGAATGTACGAATCATGTTGATTGCGACAGCTGTGGCCGACGTAGTTCCATATTGGCCGCCCGGGAGGCAGGCGATCACGACGTAGTGTTTACCAATTCGGCCTAATGTGTAGGTGTTTGAGTCACTTGGGTGTTGCTCATCGAGAATGCCAAAGTTGTCATCCAGCATCGCCGTGGCTGCGGCAACCTCGACCGGTAGGGCGCATATCCAACCGATCTGAAACATTTCTACTGGAAAACAAGGCATTTTGAGGGCCTGGTCCATTTCCGGATAGAATCTCGCTTAGAATGAAGCAGTGAGTTTTGAAATGGCAGATGTTAGCAGTTATGGGCTGAGAAGAGTGCCATGTAATGAGAGTCAGGAACCCCTCTCGGCCCCCAAAGCAAAGTCTGATGCTAGACCCGAAGCCAAAGACGGGGGCGGCAAGAGACAAACTGCTATTGGCTGTGGGGTTGAGCCATCACAAACCCCAATGTGCCGCTATCAGGGAACGAGCTACTTACTAAGCGCTGTAATATGTGACAGTTAATATACAGGCAAATACCATGCAGTACCTTGGCAAGGCAGTATATTCATACGTGGTGAATAAAAAATCAGCACTAGCGACTTGTCAGTGGGGCCTGGCAATAGAATGTGCTTGTCCAGGGTAGAAGCTGTTTTCGCTACTGACTGTACTTGGGAGAACCGCCCAGAGCAACCGGGAAGGCATTGAAGCAATTATCAATCAAGCGCTCGACTGGGAGAAAAGGAGCGGAGCGACTTTTGAAGCAGACAAAACAGCCATCATACACTTTGCTCCCAAGGCTTACAAATTGGATCAGGGACCTTTCACTATCAAGGGACAAACCGTTGAGCCCAAGGACCGTGTCAAGATCTTGGGCGTCCTCATGGACACGAAGCTCAAGTACAAGGAACATATTGCGAGGGCAGCATCCAAGGGCCTGGAGGCCGCGATGGAGCTTCGACGACTTCGGGGTTTATCCCCAGCGACAGCGCGGCAGCTATTTACATCGACGGTGGCGCCGGTCGTGGACTACGCGTCCAATGTCTGGATGCACGCATGCAAGGATAAGGCCATGGGGCCGATCAACCGCGTCCAAAGGGTAGGAGCGCAGGCGATTGTAGGAACATTCCTCACAGTTGCGACCAGTGTAGCAGAGGCGGAGGCCCACCTTGCCACTGTTCAACACCGTTTCTGGAGACGAGCCGTGAAGATGTGGACGGACATACATACCCTGCCAGAAACCAACCCTCTCCGCAGGAATACAGCACGGATCAAGAAATTCAGAAGATACCATCGTTCGCCGCTGTATCAAGTAGCAGACGCGCTGAAGAACATTGAGATGGAAACACTGGAAACCATCAATCCGTTCACATTGGCACCATGGGAAGTACGCGTACAGGCTGGCGTTGAAGCAACTCCGCAGTCACCGACCGTACCAGGCGGGTTAATGCAGATCGCAACCAGCAGTTCAGCACGGAACGAGCTGGTCGGATTTGGGGTGGCGATCGAGAGGCAGCCACCTCGGTATCGAAAACTGAAACTGAAGACCCTTTTCGTCACATTAGGTGCAAGAGCAGAGCAAAATCCGTTCTCTGCGGAGCTAGCAGCGATGGCACATGCATTGAACATGGTAGTTGGACTGAAAGATTACAGGATTACGCTGCTCACGAGCAACAAAGCGGCGGCTCTGACACTAAGGAATCCTCGACAACAGTCAGGCCAGGAATTCGTCTGCCAAGTGTTCAAGTTGATGAGAAAGCTACGGAGAAATGGAAACCAGATCAATATCAGGTGGATCTCAACGAGCGAAGACAATAAACTGCGGGGTCTGGCTAAAGAACAGGCCAGAGCCGCGACACAAGAAGATGCTCTCCCGCAAGAACGCGTCCCGAGAATGAAGTCAACAACACTGAATATCGCACGGTCCCAAGCAGTCCCCAGCAATGACCTGCCAGTGAACGTAGGGAGACACGCAAAACGAGTTGATGCAGCACTCCCAGGCAAACACACCCGGCAGCTGTATGACCGATTATTGTGGAAAGAAGCGAGCGTGCTGGCTCAACTCCGAACCGGCATGGCAAGACTCAATGGATATCTCTATCGAATCAACGTAGCAGACACGGACCAGTGTGCGTGTGGACAAGCGAGAGAGACCGTGGAGCACTTCCTATTTCGATGTCAAAAATGGACGGCGCACCGGACGGAACTACTACAATGTACCAACACCCACCGAGGAAATATATCCTTCTTCCTAGGAGGAAAGTCGCCTTCCGATGATCAGAAGTGGACGCCGAACTTAGAGGCGGTACGGGCCTCAATACGATTCGCCATCGCCACGGGCCGACTCGAGGCCACCTAACCACGCCGACGAACATAAATCACCCCCCCTTTCGCCGATCTAACCCACCAACCACCTCGTGTTACAGACGGTAGACGCGCTTCAACTGCCGAAAATAGGATGTTGAACACTTGGAGAAGCGCCTTCAAGCCAGCCTACTAACAAAATTACTAACCCACGAGGATCCGCTGCGATACGGACATCTGAGATGACATATATTGCAAGGCTTTATGTATGGGCTCTGAGGAGACACAGTACTATATATATTATGACGTGTATAGTAGATCAGAGATAGTTGCCCTTTCGGCTTAGCCGCCGGGCGTTAATAAATTGTGTGTGTGTGTGTGTGTACTTGGGAGAACCAGAGTACGTCTACGAAAATGAGCCGCGCAGTACATAGCAAAGTGCCGCGAGTAGACTGCGACTTGCCCATGGGCCTTATGTAAGCGGGCAATGGGCACTATAGATATGCCCATGGACGGGCACCACCTTATACGCCCACGGGCAATGACCACCGTGGGCGCCCGTGGGCGATTTTAGTAAGCAAAATTAGCTTAACACGTGACTTTTATTGACAGATTTCAAAATATTTCAACTAAATTTGTATATTTTATATACTTACACTAATAATTCCGAATTTTTAATAAGATATATATAAATATATATAGTATAATTTACTATATAACTAATTTTTATATATATTTAAGACAACTTCATATAATGGTGGGCATAGTGGGCATGCCCGCAATGGGCATGCCCGTGGGCGGTGGGCGTTGTGGACGGGCACTCGAAAATCCAAATTGCCCACCGCCCACCGTGGACGGGCAATGTCGCAGTCTAGCCGCGAGATACAGTACTTCCCGAAACTGGTGTCACCACCTACACTCTTCGATTGTTTCCCGAACCCTAATGCCAAGATATACTATACTGTATTAGGAATAGACCCGGAGTATCAATATTCCTGTTAGATTACCTATACGGTACTTCACGCTAAGTGATTGTACCTCGTGTCTCAGTATTGTATCGAGTCGCTAGAATTTTCCATATAAATGCAAACAAGTCAAATATCAAGAGCTGGAGTGGGCCTCGACAATGGAAAGATGTCAGTTCCCTTCGATCTCCAACCACTGGATAACCATCCGAAGAATGGCTTATTTTACCAAGCAATCTCTCCAGGCCTAGCTTTTTTTCCCCCTCTCTAAGCAATAGGGACTCGTTGGTGGAAAACGGCTGTCTTAGAAATGCATCTTTGATCATGTTAAGCGGCAACATGAAACTAACGTACGGGCAGTTGGATGGTCTGTATGGACAGGAACGGTGCTTTCGAGTGTTCGGAACGGCACGCCCCACCTTCTATTTGAGGGATAACCTGCTGCCGCCAATAGCATGTTGTCTCTTGCCGCCCTGCGGCTGTGATACGTGCCTTGCACAATATTGCGTATTGGGGCCTGAGAGGGCTATAGATTTTATCTACTATGCTACCGCACCTCTTCCATCTTCGAGATAAGTGCAAACCTATTGATTCTCCTACTGCTTCCTGGTGTCTCTCCAATATTATCTTGTGAGTGAATCGGACCTTTGACAACGTTAGTGCTATTTTGCAATTGAAAGGGTTGTGCCTTTGGACTGACAGTGATAAAGAGTACGACGCAGCCACGTCTCCGTCTCTTCTCGTGTGACTGAACTCCAGTTTCCCCTAGGACAGAGGCGAAACGCACAACCCTATCCTTCCACCCGCCTATCTGGCAGTCTAGTGCGCTTCCTTCCGAATAATGTCATCCCACAATGCCCTCGACAGCCCTGAGTCCTATCAAATCGCCTGGATCGCTGCTCTTCCCATCGAGCGGGCCGCTGCAGAAGCGATGCTCGACGAGGAACATGCAGCTCCAACCGGTTTTACTAGAAATCAAGCCGATACGAACGTTTATACGTGGGGTCGTGTGGGAGACCACAACATCGTCATTGCCTCTTTGGCTTCTGGAGTCTACGGAACCACCTCGGCTGCGACCACGGCCTCGGGCCTGCTTGCCTCTTTGCCATCCATCCGTGTAGGTCTTATGGTCGGCATAGGCGGCGGCATCGCTCGACCGGACAAGGACCACGATATCCGGCTAGGTGACGTTGTCGTGAGCCAGCCCAGTGGGACCATGGGTGGGGTCTGCCAGTACGACTTGATCAAGGCAAAGCCTGGTGACAAGCGTGAGCGCAAAGGCTTCCTCGGACGGCCTCCGACAGTCCTCCTCAATGCGCTTGGCGGAATCCAGGCCTACCACGAGCGAAAAACCTCCAAGGTTCCCTGCTTCCTTCAAGAAATGCTGGAGAAGAACCCGAAGATGGGCAAGATATCCAAGCGAAAGCCTGGCTATATTCACCAGGGCTTTGACAACGACCGCCTCTTCAAATCTCCATACGACCACATCCCCGGCCCCGACTGTCAGGGGTGTGACGCGGCTGATGAGGTTCAACGCGATACTCGAGACACTACAGACCCGGATATCCACTATGGGACCATTGTATCCGGCAACACACTCGTCAAAGACGCCGCCGCTCGCGATCGGATTATCGCTGACCTCGGCGAGGATTGCATCTGCTTTGAGATGGAAGCGGCTGGCCTGATGAACCACTTTCCCTGTCTTGTGATCCGAGGTATCTGCGACTACGCCGATTCTCACAAAAATGATCGATGGCAACGCTACGCCTCGGCGACCGCCGCTGCATATACAAAAGAACTTCTGACCTACGTGCCGGCTGCGGAGGTCAAAGAGACCAAGAGGGCACTGGAAGTGCTTCAGTCAGGTTAGTTCTTATTTCGGTCACTAGATAGGCTAGCAAATGCACGAGACCGAATTACATTTTAGATTGACATACGTCGTGACTGCGAGTAGTCCAACAACAGATTGCTGGCGTGCAGCAAACGACAACTGCAACGAAAGCTGCAACTGATTCCATCAGGACTGATCTTCGTACCGATAAGATCAGGGGCTGGCTTTGTCCCCCGGATCCGTCTACGAATGCCAACCACGCGAAGACGCTCCGCCATGAGGGGACAGGCGTGTGGCTCCTGGAAAACCCGGTCTTCGAGTCGTGGCACTCGGGGTCGCGTCGACAATTATGGTTGCACGGGCTTGCGGGATGTGGAAAGACGGTTCTTAGTGCGACTGTGCTTGATCATCTCGCGAAGGGAAAACACGGTCTAATCCTTAGCTTCTTCTTTGACTTTAGCGACTCCACAAAGCAGACATTGGATGGCATGTTGCGGTCGCTTGCTTTCCAACTTTACCAAGGCGGGGTCGGTTCTGCCATTTATCTTGATACATTATTTCAAGCACACCAGAGTGGCGGCGGCCAACCTGCGACAAGTACGTTATCAGATATTGTTTTCAAGATGCTCGCAGTACAGAGAAAGGTCTCTATCGTTCTAGACGCATTGGATGAATCGAAAACAAAGGATAATGTCCTCCTGTGGATCAAGGATATGATGTCTAGGCCATCGTTGGTCCATATCCAACTGCTTTATACCAGTCGGCCTGAATCCGAGTTTCTGCGCTACATTCCCCCTTCAATAGGAGAGCAAAGCTGCCTAATATTGGATAAGCAAGCTGTCAACTCTGATATCCGATCTTGGGTTACAGCACAACTTGCTCAACGGCGTGATTTTGTAGAGAAGCCTTTGTCCCAAGATCTACTTGAGGGGATCCGAAGGAAGGTTGGTGACGGGGCTGATGGGATGTGAGATATTACAACTTTGATTAATATGCTGATGGTTTGCTGACGCCCTGCTTAGGTTTAGGTGGGCGTTCTGTCAATTGGACAGTCTAGCTCGATGTCGTCACGAAGCTTCTATGGAGGAGGCTCTCGTATCCTTACCGCTGAATCTAAATGAGACATATCGGTGCATAATTGCAAGCATACCGAAGGAGCTAAAAAACGACGCGATACGCCTCCTGCAATTCCTAGTGCACTCCAAGCGACCACTCAAGCTATCCGAGGCTAGAGAAGTAATAGCGACGCAGATCGAGAATAAGTCGAGAGGGTTTGACACCAAGCGTCGACTGTTTTGCGACAATGATATTCTGGATTACTGTCACAGCTTAGTGACAGTCGTTCATGGTACCGGTAAAGAACTACATCTTGCCCACTTTTCCGTCAAAGAGTACCTTCTCGGAGAGAATAATTTCGAGATTACGACTGCCAGCATTTCCATAGCGAAGACCTGCTTAACTTATCTCACGGACATCACCGGTAGCAACGAGCATGATTTTCCAATGGCAAGGTCTGCGGCGGAACTTCTGACAGGCCATGCTTGGTCCGCTCAGGCTTCCGAGGAGATAGTTCAAATGATACTCAGGTTCCTAGAAAATAAAGCAACATTCCAACGATGGACTGATTTAAATCAGGTTGATAATCGTTCGGTCTATGACATCTTTCGTCCGAGAGGTCCTAGGCTTTACTATGCTTGCTTTGTTGGGCTCGTAGCCCCAGCACGACATCTTGTTAGCCAGGGAGCGGATGTCAACGCGCAGGGCGGCTACTACGGCAACGCTCTCCAGGCCGCCTCAACTGAAGGCCATCAAGAGATTATCGAACTTCTTTTGGACAAAGGAGCGCACATTAACGCGCAGGGCGGCTACTACGGCAACGCCCTCCAGGCCGCTTCCTACAGAGGCCATCAACAGATTGTCATGCTTCTTTTACACAAAGGAGCGAATGTCAACGCGCAGGGCGGCTACTACGGCAACGCTCTCCAGGCCGCCTCCACTGAAGGCAATCAAGACATTATCAAACTTCTTTTGGACAAAGGAGCGCACATTAACACGCAGGGCGGCAAGTACGGCAACGCTCTCCAGGCCGCCTCCATTGACGGCTATGAAGAGATTATCAAACTTATTGTAGGCAAAGGAGCGGATGTCAACGCGCAGGGCGGCTACTACGGCAACCCTCTCCAGGCCGCTTCCTACAGAGGCCATCAAGAGATTATCAAGCTTCTTTTAGACAAAGGAGTGGATATCAACGCGCAGGGCGGCGAGTACGGCAACGCTCTCCAGGCCGCCTCAGCTGGAGGCAATCAAGAGATTGTGGAACTTCTTATAGGCAAAGGAGCAGATATCAACGCGCAGGGCGGCGAGTTCGGCAACGCTCTCCAGGCCGCCTCAGCTAGAGGCCATCAAGAGATTATCAAGCTTCTTTTAGACAAAGGAGCGGATATCAACGCGCAGGGCGGCTGGTACAGCAACGCTCTCCAGGCCGCCTCAGCTGGAGGCAATCAAGAGATTATCAAACTTCTTATAGGCAAAGGAGCGGATATCAACGCGCAGGGCGGCGAGTACGGCAACGCCCTCCAGGGCGCCTCCACTAGAGGCAATCAAGAGATTATCAAGCTTCTTTTGGACAAAGGAGCGGATGTCAACGCGCAGGGCGGCTGGTACGGCAACGCTCTCCAGAGCGCCTCCACTAGAGGCCATAAAGAGATTGTGGAACTTCTTATAGGCAAAGGAGCGCACATCAACGCGCAGGGCAGCGAGTCCAGTAACGCTCTCTATGCCGCCTCCACTAGAGGCCATCAAGAGGTTGTCAGGCTTCTTTTAGACAAAGAAGCGCACATCAACGCGCAGGGCGGCTACTACGGCAACGCCCTCCAGGCCGCCTCAGTTGGAGGCCATCAAGAGATTCTTGTAGGCAAAGGAGCGCACATCAACGCGCAGGGCGGCGAGTCCAGTAACGCTCTCTATGCCGCCTCCACTAGAGGCCATCAACAGATTGTGGAACTTCTTATAGGCAAAGGAGCAGATATCAACGCGCAGGGCGACTACTACGGCAACGCCCTCCAGGCCGCCTCAGTTGGAGGCCATCAAGAGATTGTCAAGCTTCTTGTAGGCAAAGGAGCGCACATCAACGCGCAATGCGGCCACTACGGCAACGCCCTCCAGGCCGCCTCCATTGGCGGCCATCAAGAGACTGTCAAACTTCTTGTAGACAAAGGAGCGGATCTCAACGCGCAGGGCGGCTACTACGGCAACGCCCTCCAGGCCGCCTCAGCTGGAGGCCGTCAAGAGATTGTTAAACTTCTTGTAGGCAAAGGAGCGGATATCAACGCGCAGGGTGGCGAGTACGGCAACGCTCTCCAGGCCGCCTCAGCTAGTAGCCGCCAAGAGATTGTCCAAATGCTCCAAATAATGGGCGCTATTCCACTGTCCTCAAAGCGGTCCGGCTCTAGGTTTCTAACCAACCCGGCGAAGAAAATTCGTCTGATTGGCTTTGAATCTTCTGGTCACACTCAATGACTCGTCAAATATCCTACAACATGCTATCCACAGTTTGTCTAGCTTCAGGCCTCATCAATCTTATCACTTCGCAGATTCTAGGTGTGGCTAGGTAAAATCACAACAACCCCAGAAGATTGATCCATCTTGGTAGCGGTTTTCTATTGAATCCAGATCGAATGACATAATCCCACATGTATAAGGAAAAATACCAACGTTGAGATCCACGAGCGAGCCGGAACTTGCTGTTACTCTCTCCCTGTGCGATCGTCAAACGCAGTCGGCAAGACCACAAGTCCGCCTATGAAACGGTGTTCTAATTGGATAAACGGATTCAATCACACATTATCCCTCTGCAATACCTTACTGATAATGAACAGTCTTTTGGATGAGATATGGATATTGGTAGTCCCAAACAAAAGGCCACTAAAGATGAGTCATGCAGCGCCGAGGGAAATCCGTTAGGAGAGTTGACAAAATAAGAAGCACCTCTCATGTCCATCGTGGGGCAATCTTGAGCTTCTTGTCGGTAGTGTTAATCTGTAACGTAAATGAACCAGGGCCGATGGGAGGGGCTGATAAGCTATAGGTGTAGATGATGGAGACTAAGACTCGACTCGCCGAAGACCATGCTAATACGCTACCAAGTAATGGGACTGTAGAAGTTTGTTATGATAAGTGCGCATTAGACCACCTGTAGGCGCCGTAATAAGCGCTGCCTGCTCGCCTACTACCGCGTGCGCAGGAGAAACTGTACTAGTTGTGTTGGCTCGGTATTAGAACTCTTAAGCAGCTCAGCAACAGCACACGTATTTGATGCTTGGCAAGACGGTGGAAGTGGATAAGCTCGTGCCTTGAAGGGCTAGGACAGGCGCCATCCTGGTGTGACCAATCGTGGTGAATTAAAGATTTGCGCGTACCAAGGGACGATAAAAGCGAATACATTCCGCAGTGTCCCGGTTACCATGCGTAAGAAACAATACAGGCTCCACTGACAGGGGTACTCCGGAAACACTCCCAATATAGACTAGTTTGTCTTGGCAGTTAGGGTTTGAGAAAGAATCAAAGAGTACAAGTGGTGACACCAGTTTCGGGAACTACTGTAGATAAAATCTTTTCCAAACAGGTTTAGCTCCCTACGGCCTAAGCACAACCTTCTATATTATGGCTAGCGGTTGCGCTGCATAGGGGAATAATGGGGGGAAAGAAAAAGAGCTAGCGAGCGACTTGCCAGATCGCCAAATCTGGGGGTTCGATGTAATATAACAGTACATACTATAACGCTGACTCATCCGTAGCAATTCGGTGACGGTTCTGCTGGATTTATGAAGCGGTGAGCTAGCATGGATTAGCGTTATTCGGACTTAATTTCCGTTACCGCTCCGCACGAATCGAATCGAATCCAACTTTTGGCAAATTCGATTGGATTCGAACTAATATTGAACATAACGATTCGTACGAATTCGAATTCAAGACCGATTCGAATTCGATTCGAAGTTCGCGAACTTTTTTGTTCTAAAGCTTCATTGGGAAGGCGGTCAATCACGCCTGTTGTTCAAAACGATAGCCAGCAATCAACACCTCATACAGGTAGTCTAATAATTAGTTAACTAATAGTTGGATACAGAGATAAGTAGGCTAGATTCAGTCTGATATCAAAATTGGGCAATCTGGCCTTAAGATTAAGAAGCTGTAGGGCAGTATCAATAGATGCAATTTTCGTTCAAAACCTGCATCCAAATATATATTATTCGACTCCTAAGGTTACTCCACAAATCGATAATCTTATATGTGGTCTGTTTTGCTTCAAATTATACTAGCCCATAGATCGTACTGAGATACACGTAATATATCAATATAGAGTCATAATATGAATAGTTGCACATTGCATTTAATGAAGAGTAGATGGATAGTCTAATCGGGTTAGCGGAGACTCCACAAGAACGTGTCTTTTCGTATACGTGCTTTTACCAAGAACAACATCCAAATCGGGTTCAAAAGCTACTGCAAACCGTCACTTCAGGGTGCCCGAGGGTAAGCGATCGATCAAGACACAAGCTTGAAATACTACAGTAGATTTCGAAAACGGCTTCCCCTTAGAACACTCACGGCTTGTTTCTCGGCCCGTACCCGGAACCACACTAGCCTAAATTAGGACTAGTGGTAAGCTAACATGCATTGTGAGCCAAGGATGACAATACCAAATCCAAATTCGAACTAGTGTGGTTTCGGGTACGGGCCGAGGAACAAGCCGTGAGTGTTCTAAGGGGAAGCCGTTTTCGAAATCTACTGTAATATAACGTTACAGATGACTTCTCCACTTGCTACAACATTTGACTGTCCTAATACTAGGAAGAATAAACGCAATTATGCGGCGCTTAATGAATATGGCCTCCTTGCAGAGGATATACCACTTCCGCCTCCCCGAAAGAAGATGGCGGTCCGGTCCGCCCTTAAGTCGCCGACTCCTCCGATTTCAACCTCTCCTACGGCTCCCAGCAATGTCCTATGAGTTTGTCGAATCTTGATACGGATATACGTCCTTCGCAATCAATATCTCAGGTCGAATGCGAGGTAGAGAGGATCGAAATCAAGCAGAAAGATGAGACTAGGTCGAAAGAGCGGAGCTGGGTTTGGAAACACTACCTTAGTACACCTGAATCTGGTACCTGGAGATTAGGAAATAAGGAGCGGTCCGAGCTTAAACACCTGTGTATTGTGTCGCCATCCACCTGCCGATTCTTTCGATTTGCATCGAAACTGCGATCTTCAACCACAGCGTTGAAACTGCACCTGCAGCAAACCCACAAGCTCTTCCAGGACGGCCATTCAGGGTGCCAAGGTCCGTTAAGCTCATGGATTTCTAAGGAAAAGAAGCCCCCATTCGAAGAAGCTGTCTTGAATTGGATTGTATCAACCTGCCAACCGTTTACATGCGTCGAACAGCCTTCATTCAAGGCTATGTTGAGGTCTGCAGGCTTTCAGGACTCCGTACCAAGTGCGGATACTGTGTCCCGCCGATTATGTCTTCGGCTTGCTGCTCTTGACAGTGAGCTTCGAATCTTAATGTCTTCAGCATCCTCAATTGCGCTATCTTTGGATGGTTGGACAAGTCAGAATTCATTACCAATGCTAGCCATTAATGCTCACTGGATGTCCTCTGCCTTCCAGCAATATCGAGCTTGTATTGAGTTCGTTGAAATTGAAGGCAGCCACTCTGGAGAGAACCTTGCTAATATCGTTGCGACGGTTCTCGAGAGGTTTCATATATCACTTTGTGGTGTTTATCCTCATCAGAAGACAGGAAAGTTCCGACTATTGCCCCGTGGTGACACTACAGAGTGACGCGGGACATAAATGTTCACTCGTTAACCACTAGCCAAACATTCCATGCTGACGCTTCACTGTGAAGCCCCTACTCATGAGCACGAGGTGAATGTTCATGACGTCGAAGAATACTATCCGGTAGAAAGCATGAGATGATGTTATACCTAGCTACTGGCGTGAATGTGGAGCTCAACGAAGTCAAATTCGGGCCAAACTATGTTGGAACAATACGTGTAAGAGCACGGTCGGGGCCTGTGGTGATATGTCATCTTTTGGGTAGTTTTGACTTTGCCCTTCCCCTGAACGAGGTCACAGCAATTCTTTTTTTCAAGGAAAGCACAATAGACAACACAACAAATAAAATAAAAATGTGGAGAATAAATGATATCCGGCTGACTCTTCAAGTCCGCTCGTGGGTATATTCGGTCAGAGCTTGACTGCGTTCGGGCAAGAGTGGGCTCGGAGAAAATCCACAGCGGATGAGATGCCGACTTCTTTCTGGCCCGTACGACCAAATCTTGGGACATTTATTGACGCCTGAAATCTCGTTGCTAATTATCCCCAAGATATGTAAGACTTGGAACTGAATTGCTCCGTTCTAGATTCAAGATGGATTTCCAGGCTGCGAGAGCCTGCGCTTCGACTTCTCGAACCCCTTTCACAGCCTCCTCAAGCTCACTAGCCATCTCTTTAGCTGCAAAGTAGCCCCCAGGTGTAGGTGCTGTATTTGAATGGTATACTAGAAGCAGATTGGCTGATGCGATGGAGACCTTTGTCCGCAGTTCCTGAAGAAGTGAATAGCAGGTTCTATGGAATCTGTTGATGGCTCGCTGTCGGCCAATCTCGCGCACAATCGCGATCACTTGGTCTTTCATATAGGGTACACGGCAAAGTAATAAAAAGATTGTCTCATTCTGATTGAGGACGTGAGATTCCAGCTTCTTCTATTTATAACAGAGAAAAAGGAATTTTGACCATTTGAGAGTCACCGTGTCCTTAAACGTTAGCGAGGGTTTGCGAAGCAGGTAGTTCAACAAGTGGAAACGTTCGGCGTCTCAGTCTGTTGAACATCTGGCGATCATTGCCGTTATGCCAGAAGATACAGGTTCTAGATAGGCATCGACTAAGGGGACTCATGACTGAGCGAGCCCTACAAAATTTCCTCTACGTTAAGCGGATGAATATCGATATTTGCTGTGTTACACGTCCCAAGGCTCATAATGGTACAGTATGGATGGATGGATGGATGGATGGATGGATGATTTCATTTACGCTGACCCCTCGCTTTAGTTGATTTAACCACTAGACCAAAATACGAATCCGTACCCAGCCTAGTGGGTTGTGGTTTAGAATCCAACTGCTTTGAGCGATATGCAGCCTACCATTATGATGAAATAAATACATGATTGTTTCCACGATATTGTCCTGAACTTCCTGCGGTGAGCCTCACCGGTGAAGGCCATTCTTGTTCCACTGTAACCTGTGAAAAGGTTTTGGGGTACTCCATTACCCCGTGTGATAGTTTCTCCCAACAGAGACGTGATGGGTTTGTAGTGTTGCCGGCACTGGGATTCGAATCTGAGAACCTTAGAAGATGCGGAGGGACCAATTCCGCCCTTCTGTATCAGGACCACTTTTCTGCAGGTTACAGGGCGTAAACCACTTGCCCTGCTACCGAACAACACGGTTAAGGAAGGTGAGGGTGCTGGGATTCGAACCCAGAATCTCCGAAATTGTAGTTCCGGAAACTTTCCATGATGGCGACGCTAACCAACTGCGCCATCCACCCCCTAAGAAATAATGGTACAGTAAGTAGAATTCGAAAACAGTTTAATCCTGGGGCATTGACGCTTTGTTTCTCGGGCCGTAATAAAAACGGGGCTTAGCCTAACTTAACCATCTTATAAAATAACATTGTCTGTGAGTGGTGATTATCATGCCACTTATCCGAATAAAGACTAAATCAGTTTCGGGTACAGTAGAATTCGAAAACAGTTTACCCCTAAAGGACACACACTTTGTTTCTCGGCTCGTACCTAAAACAGGTATAGTCTCTATTTAGAAAAGCGGTAAATTAACATCCACTACCCCTCAGGCTCACACGCTTTGCTTCTCAGGCCGTACCCGAGACGGTGCTTACCTTAATCTGGCCTCGCTGTAAGCAACAGTAGTCTATGAGTGGTTATTGATTTTACCACTTATCTAAATAGAGACTATACCCGTTTCGGATACGAGCTGAGAAACAAAGTGTGTGTGCCTGAGGGGTAAACTGATTTCGAGTTCTACTTGAAAACCATGAACCTGGAGACTACAGGAAATCGAAATGATTGACCCAACCCCGCTACCACCATGGCAAAAAGAAGGCTTCTCGGAAATCGAGATTGAATCAGACAGGGAGGTCGCGATAGAAAGGGCCGAGGCTGCACGGTCAACCGCGGACATCGTGGTGTACTCAGATGCCTCGGGACGAGAAGGTCATCTGGGTGCCGCAGCGGCCGTGCTGAATGACTCGCTAGAAACAACCAACAGCATACAAGTTCAGGTTGGACCCATGGATCGATGGTCCGTCCACGCTGCCGAGCTCATTGGGATCCTGTATGCCATCAACGTCATCAACAAGGTCGCCCTCCGACGCTGGAGAACATCCCATACATGGGTGAGATCTGCCACTATCCTCAGTGACAGCAAGTCGGACCTGCAAGCAGTCCAGAAACCCAGGAATAAGTCGGGACAACAGATCATCCATGCCATTCTGCAAGCAGCCAGGAACACCAAGACACACGGCACATCGATTCGACTACAGTGGATACCTGGACATTGCGAAATGCCCGGGAACGACACCGCCGATTTGCTGGCCAAAGAGGCAGCCATACCGGGGAAAACACACCCATTTTGCTTTCTGCTACACACACACACACAATTCATTAACGCCCGGCGGCTGAGCCGAAAGGGCAACTATCACTAATCTACCAGTACATGCATGTTTAGGCATACGCCGTGTCTCATTGGAGCCCATACAGTATTTCCTTCGGCATTGACTTCTCAGCTTTCAATCTCATAGTTGGACCCTGTGGGTTAGCATTAGTTAGTAGACTGGCTTGAAGGCGCTTCTTCAAGTGTTCAACATCCTATCCTCGGCAGTTGAAGCGCGTCTACCGTTTGTCACAAGGTTTTGGGGTTAGTAGGGGGGGGGGAGGTATTCTACCCGCGTTCGTTGGCTAGGTTAAGTGGCCTCAAGTCGGCCCGTAGCGATCGCAAATCGTATTGAGGCTCGCACTGCTTCCAAATTCGGCTTCCACTTTTGATCATCGGAGGGTGGCTTCCCTCCCAAGAAGAAGGACATGTTACTTCGGTGAGTGTGGGTGCATTGCAGCATTTCCTTCCGGTGCGCGGTCCACTTCCGACATCGAAACAGAAAGTGGTCCACGGTCTCTCTTGCTTGTCCACATGCACATTGATCTGTCTCGACGGCATTGATTCGAAAGAGATATCCATTGAGTCTTGCCATGCCGGTGCGGAGCTGGGCCAGCACGCTCGCTTCTTTCCATGATAATCGATCGTACAGCTGTCGCGTGTGTTTTCCTGGAAGTGCGGTATCCACTCGTCGGGAATGTCTTCCTACGTTCTCGGGCAGCTCGCTGCTGGGGGCAGCTTGGGACCGCGCAATCTTGAGAGTTGTTGATTTCATCCTAGAAATCTGTTTTTGCGAAACGGCGTCTTCTTGTGTTGCGACTCTGGCCTGTTCTTTCGCCATTCCCAGTAGCTTGTTGTCCTCGCTGGTGGGGATCCACCGGACGCTGACCCGATTTCCATGCCTCTGCAGTCTTGTCATCAGCTTGTAGATTTGGCAGACAAATTCCTGACCCGACTGTTGTCGAGGGCTCTTCAGTGTGAGTGCCGCCGCTTTGTTGGTCGTGATCAGTGTGATCCTAAAGTCTTTCAATCCCACCAGTGTCTTGAGTGTATGCGCCATTGCCGCCAGCTCCGCGGAAAATGGATTTTGCTCGGTTCTCGCGGCCACCGTGACGGAGAAGACCTTCAGCCTCACTTTCCGATAACGAGGTGGTTGCTTCTCGATCGCCACCCCACCCGACCAGCTCATTCCGTGGCGAGCTGCTGAACGCGATTTGCATTGATCCGCCTGGCATAGCCGATGTCTCGGGACTGGCCTCATCATCAATTTGCACGCGGGCTTCCCATGGTGCCAGCGTAAACGGATTGATGGTTTCCAGTGATTCCATGTCGATGTTTTTCAGCGCGTCCGCTACCTGGTATAGCGGTGAGCGGTGGTACCTCCTGAACTTCCGGATCCGATCTGTGTTTCTGCGGAGAGGATTGGTTTCCGGTAGCGTGTGCAGGTCCGTCCACATCTTCGCGGCCCGTCTCCAGAATCGGTGTTGTGCCGTGGCAATGTGGGCCTCGGCCTCCGCTACGCTGGTCGCAACTGTGAGGAATGTCCCCACAATTGCTTGTGCGCCTACCCTTTGCACTCGGTTGATCGGTCCGATGTTCTTATTCTTGAATGCGTGCATCCAAACATTAGATGCATAGTCCACCACCGGAGCCACGGTCCCCAAAATGAGAGAGTATTCACACCTAGTGTCTGTTCACGGTATAATATGCCAGTATTGGCATCGAATTGCCTCATGTTTGACGATAAGCGTGAGAAGAAAATAAACTTAGTTCGTACTATGTTCCTTACGGAGGTGGGATTGGAATCGGTATTTAAGCATACTCATCCATAGCAAAATTTTATTCATTTGATAGTAGGAATGCAAGGACGCTACGCTACCATCTTAATGTATCATTTTGATACCTTGCGTTTATCTGTCATCAACGATTTGAGAAAATTCCGAAAGCGCGCCTCATTCCCAAGACAGCAAATAACCTAGCCAGCCTCAACATACATTCCTAGCGCCTGAAGGAATGCCCCAAAATGCACTCTGAGAGATTGTAATAACCGACTGAAAGATACCATATGGTCATAGAAAGCTGCGTTTTCATTGAGATGGTGCTCTTGTAGTAACCAGCGGCCAGAGCCATCTCTTTCGGAGATACTTCACCACTGTGGACCATGTCATAAATAAGCTCGTTGTTGGAAGAAGCGAGATTTGGAGCCATCTTTGGTTGAGCCACTCGTGATTGTTTGTTAGGCGCCTCCCGAAGGACACTCTTACAAACGAAGACATTTCTAAAATTACACTGTATTTTACGAACGGAACAATACATACCGAGCTTACAAGGGACTAGTATGTCATGGGCGAAAAAGACACGAAAGAGTGTAGGTAGTTGCACCAGTTTCGGCACGTATTGTATCACGCGAGAGAGCACACATCAGGCAAGGGATCCACTCCCAGTGGAAGAAAGAATGGAACGAGTCGAGCACCGGCGCCTATCTGCGTCAGATCGACGACTCACTACCGGCCAAGTACACCAGACCGCTCTACGGCTCTCTGCCTAGAAATCGAGCGTACTTATTAACGCAGTTGTGAACCGGACACTGCTGGTTGTCAACATACGCAAAGGCTTTCCGATTCCGAGACAACGATCTGTGCGTCTGTGGCGAACGGGAAAGCGTTCACCACATGTTGTTAGATTGCCCAAGATTGGGAATGTTAAGGAGAGAGCTCCGAGGAAAGGTTGGCAATACTTTCAACAGCATATCAACTCTGTTAGGGGGACCAGGAGGAGAAGGAAGAGGTAAGATTGACAGCGCTTCACGGACCAAGACGGGACTTATCTTAGTGTGGTCTAGCTGTAACCAACAGTAGACTATTAGTGGACGTTAATTTACCGCTTTTCTAAATAAAGACTATACCTGATTCAGGTACGAGCCGAGAAACAATGTGTGTGTCCTTAAGGGGTAAACTGTTTTCGAATTCTACTGTACTTCACTGAAGAAGGAGCAGGATATTATCTCAGAGACCAATTCAGGAAACAGATGATCGACGTTGATCGAAAGAACGGTGGACTGCGAGAACGAACGTTGGTGGCGATAATTCTATTGTGATTGCGTGCCGAGCAGAATGGCAGACCCACCCAAAGGGGGCTCAGGTTGCGGGGATTGGTACTACAGGATGGATCAAAATTAGTTTCACCATTTATTCACAGAGATTCTTTCTCGAACCCTCTTTCTCGAGACGTTATATCTACTGCGGATAATCTGCCCCAGAGCCCATTTCTTTGCAGTACTCCAGCACGGTTGTAAGTAACAGTATATAAATAGCTTCTGTAATAGATCTGTATGATCTCTAGGGATTCTAGAACGTTGATTCAGGAAAAAAAGCCCAACAGGCGGGAACGGGGCACTGTTGGTTAACTACAAATAGCTGGATCTTTTGATAGATCAATTATCAGACTTGTACCTCAATCCAGGGTTCAACTTTTATTTGCGGGGGTCATGCTAAACGACGTCATCCATTCATGCGTGTTGTATCTACCTATCCTTTGGAGTTTCTAGTGGGGGAAATTCACAAACACGATTTTTTGACTCAACAGCGTCGGCTGCCTTTTTGCAACAATATATCCTACAATAAGAGGTAGGGAGGATAGACATGACTACCTGAGTACATAGACAAATGTCCCATATCTCGTGGAGAAACCGAACTTTTCGTAGACTAAAAGCAAAGCTTCGGTTTCCAGTCCTACCGTATTGAGACATGTAAAAGTTTTGGCTTTGCATCACGACTCGAGGATGATGGCAGTATATGGGACCAATATACCCTTTTTAGCCTTAGGGTTAGCTGCGTGACCTCAAGCTAGAACGCCGTTGGAAAGCCGCAATAGCTTGTGAAAATTCATCGGCTCCTTCGAAGACATTAGGTAAAGCAATTTGCAAAATGTAAGCCCCGTTCACTTTGTCGGTCACCATGCATATCCCTGGAAATTCGTTCATCTGCGACATGAGAAACTGTTTTATAACAGGCTCACTACCGACATCATTCCTTGTCCCAGATTTCCTTTGTTTGGAAACTGTTCTATCGGTGAGCTTGAGCCCATTATGGCATGAGGACGTGGCTAACTGGTTGACAGTACATCTTTCTGTTTTTCGCCTCTTTATCGGTTTGGGAGGTCGCGAAGTAGAGGATCGTGTGGTCGCCATTTAGTTCTTTGTATTGCCTCTAAATTTAAGCTTTCTTAGTATTGGGGATTGGTTGTTGTCTCGCAATTCTTCAACAATATCAAATCAATGTCCAAGTACTTGTATTTATAAGGATTCCAAGCTCCAGCACCGCATCAATATTTATTCAATTGCCATTGAGCTCTCATGACCTTTCTGAAAGGTCTTTTCTGCCCATTAGTGTTCATTGCTGCAGTTGATTTCTAATGTATAAATCTGGTTTATTTTCAAACTGACTATCTGCGAGAGATGGGGATCACAAATCTCAATCTGGGGCATAATATTTGAGGAAGTGCTAATCGGTCAACTTGCCGTCGAATCTTGGACGGATCACCTATCCGTTCCTATGTTCTCTATTCTATGTTACAAACTTTAGTTGTCCGCTACAAATTTTGTCCGTCACATTTAGTGCTGGCAGTTCGTTCATCAACGACACTGGACAAGGTGACATGGTTGACTGAATGCGCGCTGGCATTTATTGCTTTGTCCGTGGCTCAGCCGTCCATAGGTCTTTGACCTATCTTATCTGAAACAGCTATGTATTTCGTGGTACCAACAACAGTGCTATCTTACTATCTTACTTGAAGGTGGATGTCGAATGCATGTTTCATAACGAAACATGATTGGCGAATGACCTAGTCCCCATGACCATCTCGGACGCAAAGCAACAGACAAGAGGAATAGAGAATATCATTTCCATGCTGTACAGAGGCGCTCGAAATCAGTTCATCTCTACACTCTCTTTAATTCTTTGCTGAACTTTGTTTTGCATAGCGCTATCTCAACCACCTTCTTCTGGAGGGGGCTAGTTGTTTTTGGCTCCAATTCCACCGGGAGAATGGAATTCTTTTCTGTTCCTATCCTCCCTATTTCCATGCCGGTATTTCGCAGGCTTCAACATCAAGTACCCCCTGACGCCTGCCAAGTTCGTGTTTCAAAGTACAGGACAGATCAAAATCTGTTCCACCATTTTATTCTATTTTATTCTTTTTTATTATTTTTCAGAATCTATTGTTTAGTAACGCCAGACCTAATGTAGTTAGTCGAAGGCAGACCGTTGCTCATATCCGTTTTGCTATTCGACACACAGTATCTTTCTTGTTCTAATATTGCACGGTAGGAGAATCTTCGATTGTGTCATGCAGATGTCCCAGATAAACGTACCATTACTAGAGAAATCACAATTCCAAACGGTACCCCCATTAAAATGCATTAAAATGAATTAAACCCATAATAGGCAGACCCTGAGGTATAGCATGTTTAAACAAAAAGAGGAGAGGGTTGCGATAAACAAGGTCAAACAGAAATGTGACGTACAGGACCATTAAGCTGCTACAACAGATCTTAATAAGGAACGATGATAGTCCTAATCTCTGAATTGGCTCCCTCTGCCAATTCCACAAGGCAACTGTAAGGTTGGAAGCTACACTTGCATTCGAAAGCTAATGTAGTTTTCTCTATGGGCAATATGAGATTAGTTTCGATTTGCCCAGTTCATACACCTCGAATAATGCTAACCAATGGTGAAGTTCAGGAACTTTCCTCTGCTCCAAATTCCAGTCAGGGTAACTTCCTTCAAATCCTATAAGTATCGAGCCAACAGTTATTTCTATTCTGTGTCCAGGCCAAATTTGATACTCTTCTCGCTTAAGCAAAGGCGGAGCTTATTGGATATTTTTCCAGTTGACCTCACATCTTAGGTCGAGTTCCAAATCATTATGCATTGGCTGCACGGCGTTAGGCTGTGGGTGTCCCACAAGTGCGTAATATTGCCTATTTAGGTCAATACGTGGCTTATAAAATTATCATATGTTAGTCTAGGGCACATAACCACCATTGGGAGACGTGAATGCAAAAAATGCATTCGCTCTTCAAACGTCGAGCCATTCCCTTACCATCTTCCAATGCCAGTGTCTCGGCAAAGCGAAGTGCTCCACTGCCAGCGCTGCCATGGCCGCCGATCGCCTTCCTACCATCGCGATTATCGGAATGACCCTACCGCAAATCGTCCTATAGGCATCTGCTCTCGAAGAAAGACAAAATGTGCTGCGGTGAAAGCAAGCTTGGAGTTCACTCGTGCACCTCATCACTTCCGGATCCATGAGTTGCCGGTGGACTGAGCAAGTGAATGATAAGTCTTTTGCGCTGCAGAAGCCTATCTTCAGCCAACAAACACAAGGATTTACTGGATTTTAACGCTCTTCGCGATAAAACATTTACTCGAAAATGTGTTGCTATTATTTTACCCACAACAATAGAGAATGTAGCTCCTAGGAAAGTGATGAAGATCTTCTTAGGCACTGTTCAAGCAGCATTTGTATATTGGGCTTGCTTCCTCACTTGTTTTCCTTTTCCTCTGTCATGAATTGCGTGGGAATTTTTATTGCTCTAGGGGTGATCCAATGACCAAGGATACCGACTATCGCAATCTGATTTTCCGACGTCCAAACGTCAAGAGACAAAGCGAGTGTGCAGCTCCTCCTAGCAAGCTCCTCTTTCACGTAAGCCCTACTTGAATGGAATTCCTCTTTGATTCGGTTGAAAAGAGTATCAGCAGTCTTGATGGGCAAAGAAGCCCCGTTTCTTCAATGAGTGCCCTGAAAGCCGGATGCTCCACCACTGTGAAAGGCTGTCTTGTTTGAATGACCCATCGGACTAGCATTTCTTCAATGCCAGCCTTCTTTCTCGGCGACTCCAAGAACCGGTCGAGGCTTCCTTCGACCGCGGGTGAGAAGATGGAGTCGGCCCCAGACTTAATACGATGCTTGGTCTGGAGATGCACCAACAAATTCGAAGTGGAACCATACATAGCGCGCCAAATCTCTGGAGGACCAGCTGCAATGTTTGCAAATCAGCAGTCGGTCTTTTTTCAGTGGGCCACCCTGCCCAATCAATCAGTATTTAGCATTCCTGCGTGGTGGTAACTTCTCAGCACCTACAGTGGCATTTGTGTAATATTTGCGCCCTGACACATCTACCCTTGAAATAGCCGGTCTATTCTTACTTCATACGCTACTCATCGAGATTATACCCCGGTGCATCATTTTCCCAATCTAGCAGAGGTACATAAGAAGTTTTATATCGGAATACATACGTGATTTAAAGTTCTACCAACAAAAAATAAGTGTATCTGGTAGCTTGTGAAGTACATGTACTAGGGTGCAAATACTAATGAAACATGACTTTACATGTCGTCACTGGCAAGTTGAATAGAAATAGAAATTGAGTCCCAAATATATAGAAATTGCGGTGAGATCGAGTAGCGCATAGATATATATTTTAACAAACTATACGAATTCACCCACAACGTGCTTTCTACCAGTCATATTAAGACATATATATACTATAATCATGACGCGTTATTAAATCAGCTTATATATCATTTCCGCGACCAAGCTTCTATTGTGTGAACGTCGAAGCTCATTTATCTCAGAACATAAACAAGAACAAAAAGTGGGAATCTAAAACCAATCTCGAGCTCTGGAACTGTTCCACCAGCGACGGTGATCAAAGAGAAAAAGAAAGTCGAAACGAAACCACCGGCCCGTCGAGCAACACTGTCGCGTTGTCCAATTACAAACCTGCTTTACAATCTTCCTTTGAAGAAGTGCGGCTAGTTGCCGTACTTGGCGAAGCCGCAGGATTGCCGTTTGTCTGATCGGCAACCAGAGTTTGCGAGCTAGAAAGTTTCTGCGACAAGATTCTGATTTCCTGGTCTCTGCCCTCTATTATGTAGCGTTGCTCATGAACCAATTTGGTCAGATAAGCGATGTCGCTTCGTGCATTTTGGAGGTCTTGAATGAGCGCTGGCACAACTACTTCATGAGTCTCTGAGAGGCCTGTAACAATAGCGTCGAGCTCAGGCGCAAGATTCACCAGATCGGCGGCGGTGCGTCTGAGATTGATAGCGAGCGAAGTATGTTGACTTCCATGCTGCCGGCCTGACAAGAAACTGGCGTCCCCGAAAGCCGGCCCCGAAGGTTGCCATATTGCATTGTCGCGGGAACGGCGGGAACCTATAATTCCCGTCGAGTGCAGCGCGTTGTGATGGGGAGCAGACATGTGTGGCTGATCTCTGCCGTCGAATCTAGCTTCTAGGACGGCAATAGGGCAGCAATAAGGCTGTAGTCGTGAGGGCTTTGCAAGGCTGAGAAAGCTGAGAAAGCTGAGAAAGCTACGCACGCTCACCTGAGGCTTATGAAGAGAGATGTCGTGGGTCGTGCTCTTTATAATATAAAGCTGTACGGCCAGGGCGGGTGAGATCACCAGAAGGCGTCTTTATCAATAAGCCCTAAGTGGTGACGAATGGCCACTGATTTGTTCTATTTTCACGAAATGCCTTCAGGCCCGACGGTATCCAGTGCGTACAGTCGATCGACTAGAGCGGCAACAGCGTTCGTTACACCGGTTCGCAAACGAACTAGATGCCCAGTTTCCTCACAAACAGGCTACCAACTCCGCCGGCGGACTATCAAATTAGGGGCGCGCCCGGGGTTTATCATTGCCCTAAATCAGCCGACGGCCGATTGCAGGTAACAAAGAAAGCCTGGCCACAGTCGGCTCACTGACGGTAAGCCCACTTAGGTGAGCTTACCGCCATTTAATAGTAAATTAGAATTTTCCGGCAAGTGCATTAAGTGCTAGCTAGCCCGAAAACGCCCCGGAAATTCCTTCGTATCACATCCTTTAGCCCATTACTTTGAGTGGGGCCCCAGTCCAGCCTTACCTAACCTTCTACTAGCTATCTAAAATATGAAGGCTGTACAGAGGGAATATCGGGCCTACGAAGTTACAGCGGTCGAAGAATGGATAAAGATTAGGGCCCTAAGCCACTGCCCACAATTCCAATATATGGTATGAGTTAGCAGAATAGTGGTAAAAGAAAAGAAAGTCTGCGGGCAGTCGTTGAACATTTTATCAACAGTTTAACTTCGAGGTACCTTCGCAGTCTGTAATCTGGGACTCGCCTGTCCGTAACTCAGCAAACACCAACCTCGCATGTAGATCACCCATTTGGCCACAATCTCCCAGTTACATGGTTGAGAACTCTGGTCAAACCCTGGTCAAACCTTGCTCCGCAACAACACTAGGAGTTGAACCAATCTGTGAGTGGCTCTACATAAAGGGACCTTGGATCTTGACAAAATCAGCAGCTGGATTTGTTGTTGCTATGGCAAATTCGAAAATCAAGTTGGCTCCAGGCCGACCAAATGATAGGGCACAGCAAGAACAGATTCGCAAGCGTCGGCACAATCTCTTCAAACGGTTGAAAGAATTCAACGACCGCTACGATATGGATATATGGCTGACAATGCGAATGCCGAGCGGTTGGGTCTACACGTTCTGCACGAAGGAGGACGAGGCCCCACCAATTGAGGCCGACTTGGTAAGTGGCAGGCCCCGTAAGCATCATAAATCTCATTGACATACTGATGACGGATGTAGCAGATACAAGGGTTTCCGGTGATCCGAAAAACCCCGGAAGACTATGCCCCCAAAGCTGAGCGGCAATTTGTCGTTCGCAGCCCACCGGTATTCTCGTTGCGGCGCCCCCAGTACTGCCGCAATAGCGGCCACTCCTCAGAACCAGAAGCGCAGACATCACATAAACCGGCCGTGCAGCGCCGTAACGACAGAAAGGAGGAGCCTAGAACACCAATTGACGGTGATAGCCAGTATATGCCAAGCCCCTTTTCTTAGTTTCACTAGCTCCCATTTTTGTGCTCATATATTCCTGGAAAAAAATGAAAAATATGCTCATGCATTGGACCTTGTCCCGGGCACATATATCTTGTTTGTTACGGTCACACGTGCATCTTCTTGGTTTTGAGAATGTTGGAGCACCTGAATAGTCCCTGACCTCCTATTTTTTGCATAGGTGCGTCTTTTCTTTCAGCTCGAAACTGATGCCAGTTTACTTGTTTACGTGGTGGCATCATTCTGAAATCCTGATACTCACTCCTCGTGCTTCAGGGTCAGACCTGTGTTTATTGTACTGGATTGCAGAAGATGGCTGACCATTTTCCATTTTCTATTTAAGTTTCGCTGGACGACCTAGTTAGTGAGGTTATGAATAGTCTCGCCCGAAATTGCTTTCCATTTTCGCTCTGAACAAAGTAGTTTCCAAACCTCGAGCATGCGGTACATTAATCACGATATAGTTATTCCCGCAACCTAAAACCCCTCTGAGGTTGAAATGATATAATAGCTGAGATGAGATCCCCGCCCCTTAGTCATGTTCGCGTCAATGGGAAGTACTTTGGAACAGAATGCCAAACTGCAATGACTATATGAAGGGAATAGTACGCATTGTCAGTAATGAAGCGTCTCGCCAATTGGAAAATCTGTTTTCATCGACACTGTAATAAACAAGAGAGGAATATTTTGTAGGTCTATAGCCCTTGGTCATCTGATACGATATTTGTGGGAACGTCGATGGTGTCTGGCATTAATTGGGATTTGGATGGCATGGACTATCTGTGGTCACTAAACTTTACATGCTTGATAGATGGGCTGGAATATACCACGTACCGTGGCTTGTAGTAAAATCCTTTTGATGACTTGGGGTATTTGACTCCATAGCATGGGGTTGCTATATATCAGTTAGCGCGTATAGACTGAACACAGCGCTTCAATGCTATATTAGTAGCTCACAATAGATTTATTCCAACCAGCAAATGCTTCTGGATGGATGACGAGAGCAGAAATCTATAAAGCTTATCAGAAGTTGATTATTCATGGAAAATAAATGCATTTACCATACTAACGGCCAAAGCAAGGATTGCCCAAATAACCATTGTTTTATTTTAATGTTTATTTCGTGTTCTCTAGAAGCACTCAGACGAAGCGAGGCTTATATATACAAGGACTGCTGCGTGTGAGTATAGGCCGTCCCAGTGGACACAGTGTTTGACCGAGGAAGATTAATTTCTGAAGACCAGAATAATCAAACGATGGTTATAATTGTTCCGTGCTGAAGAAACATTCTTTGTTTGTGGTTTTAGGCCCCGGGGATGTGGGGGGAATTCACTCTTTACTGTGGCGAAAGCCCGCCAATATAACAATTACTCCCCAAAAGTGGTATGTAAGTGATACACGATCATATTTGATCATTCCTATTATCGAGCTTGTATATATTACCGCTGTCTTCGTAGCCGCAATTTTGAGATAAGCTATGAAATTCCTAGGAACTAGGCGATCGCGAAGTCACATGCATTTCCTAATACTCAGTATGCCCCATATCTTTCGCCCAAAATCTTTTCACCTACCCACTCAGCAGGGGGATATGTAAGCAAGGGTGAGCAGATAGATTCATTCTCTATCGTGCGAATTTCTCATTTATCGACTTCCAGATTTCTCTCCGCCACATAACGCCAAGGCTTCGTTTTAACGCCTGAAATGATCCACAAGATCTCGAGCGATCACGATCTCGCATATAGGTACAGGAACGTGGCTGGATATAGAAAATGTGATACAGTCTTTCCCGAAACTGGCGCCACTATTCTACTCTTTGATTGTTTTGCAGATCTGTATTACTAAGCGCAACTAGTCCATCTTAGGAGTTTTTCCGCGTATTCGTGGCATTAGGCACTGTATCAATAATTACACCCAATACCAGTTATGATGGTGGGGCTGTATTTGCTTGTATTATATCCAAGTCCGTCACCTTTTACCCCGCGCCAAAAGATGATATCCCCATACATTACAATAGCCGCATGGATGGAAATACCATCAGACCCTGCTCTCTTCTGGCATGGGATTATCCATGAGATTGATTCTCAAAAATGGAGAGTTTTGTATCGCAGATAGTACAGACTGCTTGTTGTAATAACAGAACTATCCTATGAATATTCCCTCAAACCAGAATCACACCATACATGTATACTTATATGACGTCTTTTGCAATGTATCGCGCATACTGTACTACATTTGCGCTAATCAACTCGTTTTTTCTCATTTCAATAGGCTCGGAACGATACGAGGATGACTTGGTCGCAAATATGATATCAGATAAAATGGTAATCAGGTACATTCTTAATCAATGCTGACCCATAGTCTCACCCTCAGCCACTGAACGATAAGCAAAAGCCATGGAGACTTATGGCTACTCAACATCTGCGCCTTTCGAACTTGCGTCAGTGAGAAGCAAGTGGAAAAAAAGATTTTTGCGGCACCATAAGTTCTTTTTGACCGAGGAACCTTGAACATCCCCTCTAGGGATTAGAAAGTTTGTCTAGTTGCAACCCTTCGATGGAATGGTTCAAATTCGCGAACAGTGTTTTGAAACTGGAGTCAGAACAATCATGCCGGTAAGTTTGACCACGCTTCGGAAAGGGGCCGGATGATTCATACCACCGTGGCGATCTGAATGATGATACCTCCTGTATGAGATTTTTGTAGCTGATGCCCGGAAAAGGGGTTGCAGGCGTCGGTGAAAGAAGAGAGCTTGACCGAATCTGCAAATTAAGAGCCCCATACATGATTGATTTGCATTCAAACCCACAACCTCGATCTCCGCTTAGAAAGGCCTCGCATGTTCCATGAAGATAGAGCATTACATTCTCGATAGCCTCTCGTCGAGATTTTTCCATCGACGCTGTTATTCTATTAGGCACAATTCACTTTTTGTAGTATCGTCTCTTACCGATGGCTTGATTGGGGATCGGAAGCCCCCTAGCATCAATGAAACCTTCACTCCATGACATAGCAGTTGATGTTGCTTCTGTAAACTGTGTAGGGTGTTTGAAAACCCAAGAAACCCATAGCCAGAGTACTAGGTCTCGTGAAGATGCCGTAACCTTTTCATCCAGAGAACTGAACCATATATCGGTGATTATGTGTAGAACATCTTTGCAATCGTAGTAGTCGGCTATAGCTGCAATTTTGGCGAGCATCTCTAGTGTCACCTTCTTCGGTATGAGGCTGTATTGACAATGTATGGCACGAATAATAATGAGGAGCGCTTCGGGATCCCAGCCATCTGCGGTAACCTCAACCGAACCCTTCTGCAGATAGGTTTCGCTTTCTTTCCAACCGCCGGTGAGAGTTTTCTTGAAAAATGACGAGGCAAACATCATATGCTTTGCCGAGACCTGAATGCGGAATTCTCTTCTACTCATCGACTCACACATCTGTGTTTCCAAAGCAGAGTCATCGGTAGCAGCGCCTTCGGGAATGGACTCCTGATGAGAAATTGGGTTGTGAGGTTCTGGAGGGCCATGAGAGAGCCTGCCAGGGACCATATCTTCAGCAGCATGAGCAAAAGGAGAGTTTGCGTTATGCAATACGATTATCACTTCACCATCTGGATCAATGATATGAGTGGAGGGATCCATAGTTGCAATCTTAAGCAAGGCCTTCGTCGCAGTTGAAGATAAAGGGAGACAAAAAGCACATGGAAAGGGAGAGGAGGGAATACACTACGTCAACTGCTAGTGGGTCACCGATACAGTAACAAAACCATAAAATCGTATTTAATCTCGGTACGATCTGTATCTCTGAGAGGCACAGGAAAATCAATAACCCGTAGGGTTTTCCTAATATAGACTAGTTTGCTTATATAATAGTATTTAAGAAACAGTTGAAGAGTGAAAGTGGTGGCACCAGTTTTGGGATATAATCGTGCCAAGCCCACCAACACCTACCAGTATTAGGTGTTGGTGGGCTTGGCACGATTACTGTACAGTATCCACAACAATCAAGCTATAGCGGCAATACAATAATCCGCTTAATTAATAAACCGACTTGGTGTTAGATAACCAGATAACTACGGCAAAGGCTTGACTTGAAAGGTTGGTCAGGTAGTAGTTACATAATCAAGTAAAATGATGAGTGATCACCCCGAGCCGAGTTTATCAGTCAAACTTTATTAGCGTGCATCAACTGAACTCTTTGTTGGTGGATCCCCTGTACTGATGGTATTGTCCTGTCACCCTGATACGCACTACTCATGCATTAGGGTTAGACCTGTATCTACAATACTGGGTCATGACCCACAGAACTCTATAACAATACAACTATCATACACATGCTACAAGACTCTTCTCTTACATGTACTTTCCTGTCTCTTGTTTTTGATCGTTTCAGGGCCGATGCGCGCGACGCGCGCGTCTTCCAGTATTTACATCCGTAGTAGAATACTGCTAAGTAGGACGGGTCAGGGGCAGAGTAGCTGTAATGGGTATAGGGTGTTTCGAAAGAGGGTTCGTAATGTAATACGGTAATTTTAAGATATTCATAGGAAGCGTAAGGTCCGTCAATCGGAGATATAGTTTTTCCGTAGACAGCAGTTGTTCCAGACGTGTCACCTCTGTGGATGATGACACCTTTGGGGAGTGTACTTCCATTACTCGCCACCTTCGCATCAGGCTGGAGAAAAACATGACATTTGCCTTGTCTCTCCTGGTATCTGGCCTGCCACCACGGCCGCTTATCATGTGTTTTTTTTGGCGAGGAGGGGGTGGGGTTTGCACTAAAAGTCGGTTTTATGCCAGACCCATGCAAAAGCGCCCAGCGCCTCAAAATTCTGCGGTGCTACATTATGGGAGCCATTGCCCTTCTTTCTCCGGGGCGAAAAGGTGTCTAATTATCGACCAATTTCCTAAGCCAGCAGGTTTCGCCAAGCAGAGACAGCAATATTTCCTCTACCAACGATGCAAGCCCTTGCATAACCGACATAAATATGAACGCCTGCTTATCGCAGGCTTTCTTCCTGGGAAGGTCAATTGTGGTGGGGAATAATCGTTCATCCTCACATGGCTATCGCCAAGGATGGGAAGAGGTGAATATAACTGGCTGCTGAGATGTGCTATCCTGCCTCTTTAGGTACCTATTCAGAGCTACCTTTGCGTCATCAGTCATCATTCCCCATGACGCTATCTATGGGGGTTTCAAAAGGTATAAAACTGGGCTTTTCCCTCATAGCAATTCTGTTCATCTTTTCACTGTATAACATCTTCACTCACAAGAAACACACCTCGTCAACCCAGACATGGCAAATCAGAAATGCTTCTGTCATGCACAAAGACTTACTCTCACGTTACAAATGGCTTTGGAAGGACCTCCGCCTCCCCAACAGTTGAAAGAGAACATCTCCAAGCCTAGATTACCGAAGAGGGCGTTGTTGGCTTCTGCTGTTGATGGTGACAGATTTGTTCGAAAGCAGGAGGGAATCTTGTACACTGGCACCGGATGTAAGTTTAGCACCATGCAAATTGTTCGGGATCGGGACTGAGAGCAGCATATGATCAGGTCATACCTCTAGCTTCCCTATCCGGCGGTATAGAAGAGGCTAGAATTGCTTTGGATTTTACAAAACGTCTGGTTCTTTAATTTCAGACGAAGGGGCGATGTGCTCATTTCGGTGGACGTGAACAGATATGGAAATAAACAAGAGAATATTGCCGTATTTTGAGCCTTATAGTATATTGTACATTGACGGAAGAATTGCATTAGTCGGCTGGCTGTCGAAGACCTGTTCATCGAAAATTAAGTATCCGAATATTATATATTTGATCTACAGCACTGAAGATTTTGGCGAGCTCCCTCAATTCAAGGTCATCCTTCCCTTCCAGCTACTATCGGCCGGTTCGGAGGCCCCGATAGCTCAATGTAGGCCTGGCTGGAGGGCAGATGAGTGGTACTCGGCGTTTGGGTGCGACATGCCGCGATTGACTGGGAGCTTATTTCCTTCCCAGTAGTGGCACAGTTGGTTGCCATAATGAAACAATGGGCGTGACATTTGAGACTTTTCGCCAAGCCGTCGAACGATTTCTGAATATCGCGATTCATAAACCCTGCAATCCTCACACAATAGAAATTGAGCAATCCTTGATATGTTCTTCCGAGTAGGTCTAGAGAAATTACCCTTCAAGGCAAATATCTCGCTGCTAGCGAGGTTGCGACTGTCCATCGAAACGTCATTGGGGCAGAATTGCCCAGCTCCACTGACCCAGATACATTGCGGATGAAGTCGAGGATCGCCTACCGCGTCAATGAAAGACAACTTGGACTGATCGGAAAGTAACGTTGTCATATTATGGCCGAGGAAGGATCCCCAATTGGCAGACGAGAGCAAGGTTTTGGAGAATGGAGCTGTAATCGGAGAGGCATTAAACCAATTGTAGGTAGAAGTATCTGGTTTTCAAATTAAGAGACATCTTCGACAGTATCTATGACGTTTCAGATTCGTCTTCATGGCTCGACCTTCAGTATATAACCGATATCAACAGGTGCTTCAATATTAAACGTCAATTACATTAAAGCCAATGATACAATTAAACAATTGAACTGTCTCCCCATACCATTGTGCCCTTCCATTTTACAAGCGTTCACCTGTTGCATAATTATCCATCTCTACCAGTGGGCTCAAACGTTGATTCCATAAAGGCCGATGGCGGTAACTCAGTCCAGATCACCTCACTCCTGCGCCTGGTCGCCAAACAGTTCAGAGGGCCATCTCCGATAGCCACCCCAGTAATTAATTCGTTTTGACCCCCGGTAGGGGTTAGCATTTGCTCCATTAGGTGCAATGATTTTTTGTCGCTTTCCCTGACCAACTTGATAGCCAGTTTCGTCCCAATTGAAGATCCCCATAGTTCATACTGATTCATAACAAATTGAAGGCTATCAAACCAAGGGAACAATTCGCCGAAACTTCGATATGTTTAGGGTCAATATATTGAACTTCTGGTGGCAGTCGGCTAAGAAAGCGATACACCCATGTAGAGCCAACAACCCGATGGGATTAAGCACTTTGTAAAAGCTGGTTTGCAGAACGCTCAATAAGCTCAGATACTGTAGAATTCAAAAACAGTTTACCCTTCAGGAATACGCGCTTTGTTTCTCGGCTTGTACCCGAGACGGGACTTATCTTAGTGTGATCTAGCTGTAACCAACAGTAGACTATTAGTGGACGTTAATTTACCGCTTTTCTAAATAAAGACTATACCTGTTTCAGGTACGAGCCGAGAAACAATGTGTGTGTCCTCAAGGGGTAAACTGTTTTCGAATTCTACTGTATAGTATACGCATTATGTAGGGGTTGAATCCAGGAATTCAATGCCTGTTCTTGAATTGGATTTAAAGCCCTAGATTGGCGAGCAATGGTGAAATTATCCTTGCAACCGTGGATGCGACCACATAGTCGGGAGTACGGAACTACAAATTCACGCACTAATTTAGCGGCATTGGGCTTATCATTTTGAGAGTAGGCTTCAACAGCCTTTAGGGTTTGAATCTCTATATTTCTGATTGAATCTGACATCGTGGGGCGGGGGAGTAAATTGTATAGAAAAGTGATGTTAAGATGAAGAATTGCTATCCGGTGCAGCCCACCAATACGCGGATAGTATATTGGTGGGCTTGGCACGACTATAGGTGATTTCGAAAACTACTATATCTTACGGGAGACAAAATGCCAATTGTAGTATCCCCTCCCCCTTTCCTATCTTTCCTGTATTCTTCCATCAGATGTCCCTTCCAATCTTGAATCGTCTTCCGAAGTATAGACAATCGCCCGTATCTTTCATCTTTACCGACCCATCAGTTGACGGTGGGATCTCGTCTCTCAAATGGCGCATGCGCTTTGTAATTTCATTGGGACTCCTTTCCGTAAATAAGATCCTCTCCACTTTCATATGTAACCCTAGCAGCTCCCGTGTGGTTCGTTCATTGAAATTGCCTTCAATTTTCAGATTGATGCGGAATATCCATGTTTTGTACCACACCTCGTTCAAAAGATTGATTCCCTTCTCCCCTGCACATGCATAAACGAGTTCCCTTCGGAGCCAAGATGGGTCGGTGCGTATGCGATCCCGGTGAAAGCAGATTCCGTGGCACTGAGCCTTCTCCCCAAATTTATGATTGATAGCCTGCTCTAGACGTTCAATATGCTCGTGTGCAGTATCTATGGTAATTCCATGTTGCCTGCCATACACGTGAATATAGTGAACCATCTTTTTTTTCTGGCATAGTAGCCCCTATGGTTCCGTAGAATTGGGGCTTGATTTATGTATTTTGATTATACTACGTGTTCAATGATAAAATCAATTTAATTCTGGGTTTTGGCACCGATTTCCTCCCGTTTGGTTGGCTAAAGTTTGACGTTGAACACTTTGAGGGATAATGTAGAAGATGAGTACTGCAAGACGAGTACTGCGGATAATTGAGCCTTCATAGATTCAGCAAAAAAAAACCTCACATCTGGTTCAACTGCTTTTCTATTGTGGAGGGCTTTGGTCAAAAATGTATATATGTTTCCAAACGATTGGGCCTAAGGTTTATGGGAGAGTCAACAGCAACTCAATTGGTTTTTTCGTAAACCTTGCACCAAGGGAATTTTTTTTAAAAGAAACGACCTACTCTTTAAAAACGGACGTTCTCAGTGGGGGAAAGGTATGCATCGAAATAAACCGTGAAAACCCCACTGCAGGTCTTCGATACAGGGGGTGTGTGTGTGTGTGTGTGTGTGTGTGTGTGTGTGTGTGTGTGAAATCATTTACCCTGACCCCTCGCGAGTTGATTTAACCACTAGACCAAAATACGAATCCGTACCCAGCCTAGTGGGTTGTGGTTTAGAATCCAACTAAAAGAGTTGAACCCTGGATTGAGGTACAAGTGTGATAATTCATCTATATGAAGAGATCCAGCTATTTGTAGTTACAGCAGCTCATCTCCCTGCTGCCTAGCGGAGTGTCTGCCTAATAGGCAGCCACTCCTATAGATCTATATACATCACGTGACCTGGGATCCAACTAAAAGCGAGAGGTCAGGGTAAACTGGTGACGCGCGCTGCGCACGCTGTGGCCCTGAAACGATGAAATGGAAGGGCAGGGACGAGAAAATCCGGAAAATGGGAGGTTTTGTTGTGAATGATATTTGACAATGCAAAAGAGCGTCGACCAATGAGAAGACATGTAGTATGACTAATAGCCGCAACACCTTAAAAAACAGAATAACCAAGAATGTGCTAACCCAGCCATTGTATTGTTTTTCGATTGTGCAAGAATATCAGTGTATGATGTTTTACGTCATTTTCGAGAACGCCGCTCAGGAGGTAGTGTGCGAGTCTCTGGCGAGGGCTCGTCGGTCGCATTGAGAGCAGAGCACGCTGAGAAGAGGAGGCTAGACCAACAGAATGTCCGATAGATTGTATAGACGTGCACCCTGGTGACTCAACAACTGCAAGTGGATGACGACGGCGCCAGTAATTATGGCCCTTCTGGCGGCAGGCGTCGCACATTTTACATAGCAGCGGCTGCCGGGGCGTTTGCATGAGGAGCTTTGAGAGCTATGCTCCAAAGATAAGGCCATAAGAGCGGAGTAAGTCGGGAATGGAAGGAAAGAATTGTATAGGGGGCGAAGGTAAATTTGACGTGTATGCCAGGCAGGGCATCAGGGCATATGAAAATGAAGATTAACAAAGACGTGGCGGTATAGAATGGAGACGGAAATATTTACAGAGTACAGATAGTAAAACGAGTAACATATTCGGATACAGAAATTCTCGAAAGGCAGCAATGAACGTGGAAGGCCAAGATTGTAGAATATAAGCATAGAAATAAAATAAAGTGCTGGAGGCATGCGAAAGTATTGGTGCAGATTACAGCTACGTAGGCGCGGCGGAATGACAGGCGAGTAGCAAGAAGAGAGCAGCAGACAGCCAGAATGTCGAGGAAGCAGCACCGGCATAGGCAGATTATTGCGATAGCAGACAGAAAGGGTATACGGCATAACATACAAGGATGATCCTTGCAAAACATGCAAAGCAGGATGATTAGGAAGCAAAGAGACAAAAAGAGAAAACTAAACACGAGAAGGAAGGAACGTGACCTAGGAACCAACCATGGCCAATGAGAGAGAGGCTTGGCGGGAAAGTAGGGTGTGTGTTTCTCGCTGTGTTTTTGGCTGTGTCAACGTCGGCGTCGCGCAGCCGTGGGGTTGGTAACCCCTTCCACTCCGTTCCTCCGTTTCAGGGCATGATATCATCCATCCATCCATCCATACTGTACTACTACTACTACTACTACTACTACTACTGTAAACAGATAATTGAAGCAAGTAAAATATCCAGATTCTCAGCCATCCTTTAAGCAATTCTGACTAGATTATAGACTCGATGAGATACCAGGTTTGTCGTTGGCTTGCTCAGCGATAACAGCTTGCGATTTGGAAAGTTCTTGCGATAAGATCATGATTTCCTGGGTCTGCTCCTCAATTGTACGCCGTTGTCTCTGGATGAATTCGGAAAGGTACTCAATTTCACCTTGCGCGCGTTGAAGGTTCAGGAGGAGGCCCGGTGCGGCTACTCCGTAGACCCCTGGCAGTCCCGCAGCCAAGTACTCGACTGCAGGGGCAAGCCCTTCTAAAGCAGTGGCGGTGCCTTTGAGAGCGGCACTTAGGAAAGGGTATAACGGTCCCTCTTGCCCCTTGATTGGTAAGCATCGGGTGCCCTGAAAGGGTCGACCCGAATTTCGCCACACTCGATCGATCTGTGAGCCCCAAGCTTCCATATCAGCGGGCGGCACGAAGTCAGCATTAAAAGAAGGCATGTTTGGCAATACTCTTTACAGCTGTTTATAGCTCTCGCACCTACGCGACACTTGTGTCTTTCTATAGCGGGGTGAAACTGGTGAAATTGGATGCCCCTCGGGAAGACACTGAGTGGTGAACATGAAACCTTAAGCATACATTGCCCTAAGAATTCGGTTCAAACAAAAGTTCTGATCGGAGTGATAGGTTGTCTCCAACAGTGTTGGACCGATACTAAAGAAAAGGGTGGATGGCCAAGTTAACGATTGACAGGGGCAATGGAGTGTTAAGCAATGATAGTTGGATAGCAGCATGTACAATAGCAGCATGTAGGATAGCGCCCACAAATTGTCAATGTTGGTGTCTGAAAAGCGCCCGGCGCATCAATAAGATGTGAACGAACCGTAGATACAGCAAGTCTAACAGATATGTTGTGGTGGAATGTTCAAGTCCTTCCTCGCCACCCGCAGGGGCAGTGAAGACGACGGCAAATGTAAGCGATGTTGCGCCAGGAAATTTTTAACTTAGCGAGTGATGGAGCTTCAAATCGGTACGCGAACGTTCAGTGGCGTGGGTAACGGAGCCTCAACAAGAAGACCCCCGGTGTTAGTTCAATAGTCGGAAATTAACTAGAGCACTGGATGTACAGCAGCAGGGATATCAACTCAACGAGGAAGCCCCCTTCTTGCGCAGTAGTTGAACTTTGAGCCTGTTACCTTCAGTGGCAAGGCCGCTTTGTCGGTTCAGTGCCGAGGGGTGTTGGGAGTTGGCAACAGGGATTAGTTGAAAGACACAAGGGTGCCTGGTGAACCCCACTCCCCCCACTCTCCGACGAACCATGGACCGTGCCTTGTGTAACTCCCGGTTAAGATCCTTTGTGTCCATGCTGCTGCACGGCGGACCACAGCCCAAGACTACATACAAGGTGGCCCTGCTAGATGTAATTCCGTTCTCAGTCTTCGACTTGACATTCATACTGTTGCACGTATCCTAGCCAAAGCATAATCGCTGAACTGACAAGAGGGCCCTAGTCGATGAGATTCCGTTCGCTGGTTCGGACCCATGTTGGCTAATCAGCTGGTGCATGTCCGATGAAGATCTTGGTACACTAACAGCGCTAAAGGGGCAAACCTAACTGACTTTTCTCCACGTTCAGCGAAATATCAGCTGCTACCCTTGTGGACCAGACCACGAATCGAACTCAAGGCCAGGATTCGTCTTGACATGCTGCCACCGGATCCACCGAACTGACAGGGGGTCGGTCCCTGCTGCTGCAGGTAATCTTGTTAACGTCTGACTACCGAACGGATAGGGGGCCCCTGCTACTGCAGGTAGCCTGGTTAATATCTCACCATAAAATTGACAGGGTACCCTGCTAGTTGGGTTAATTTCCATGGTGCTGAGTGCTCACCCGTCGAGTTAAACCCTCACTGCTCTTGCTGACCGACGACATCACTTTCTTGGTGTAACTTCACGCAGATTTACCTCCGTAGTATTAGGCGAGATGTATAATAGCATTAGTATATCTTGTTTGGCTGTTGTCGTGACCGGCATTCTCATTGAATTCGCCGGTTCAGTACTTCCGGAAATTGGCGTCACCACCTACACTCTTTATTCTTTTTCTGCCCCTGATGCCGAGACGCGCTAACCCATTTTAATAATAATCTAATAATATCACTGGTCTAGGCCTTGTACCTTAGAAATACCTAGACTTCCGCAGAACCCATTTCAGGTCGGAACCTTCGACCCAAAACCCAACCCAGACCCAGTGACTGGGGCCCCAGAAACCCCAGTTTAGGCCCAGTTCGACCCAGTTGTTACATAAAAAGGGGTCTTGGCGATCATGAACCTATAAAACCAGCAGAATTATACACATAATTAGCCTGTTTGTATAGTTTGTAACCCAATTTGGGGCCCAGACCCTTCACTGGATCGAAGGGGTCGACCCAAAACCCAACTCAAGTCTGGGCTGGGTTGGATTGGGTTTGGGTTTTACTGGGTCTCGCTGAAGACTAAAAATACCAGACCCAATCCAACCCAGCCCATGTTTTTAGAATTCGGTCCATAGCAGCGGGAGTCATTTTGCAACCTTCAGACTGAAGAGCCAAAGCTTGTTCCAATCCAGGATGTTCGAACCCGCTGGAACTCAATATTTCTAATGCTACGACGTGCGAAACGGCTCCAGTCAACATTTGATGAGTTTTGTTCCTAGTACGACCAGGATCACTTCGCTTTAAATCAAGAAGAATGGCGATAGATTGAATACAGTAGCGACCGGTATCGCCTTCCATGTCAGACAACACAGAGGAGCTTTTTCAAACCCTAATCACATGCTGCGCTAAGCCATATATGGCTATTCCCATATTTAAGGATCCGTCACAAGGCTGAATGATCTAATACCAAACGAAAATTAAGGACCTAAGTACGGTATCTATCGTGTATTGTTACGCTACCACATCCACTATCAGGTCAAAGATTGATCCCTAGAAGGACCACGTTACATGTGATACAACAGTAGCGACAAACTAACTAGTTCTCAGGAGGTAAAAGTGGCGAAGCCTTCTGAGCGTTCTATTTTATATAAACACGAAGGTTATTCACAAAGCCAGATCTCACAATATACGCTAGGACAGGCCATATTTGCAATAGAGAAATGGAATAATAAGACTGAAGATGCAGATTTTTTCAGGTGTTCTCCGCATCTATCAAAATGAGTTATATATTTCCTATGGAGCTTTAGGCACTATTGTCCGTCTGCAATGCTTAATGCGTTCAACCTCTGTGTAACTCGGCGAGTACGATCGTGATTTGAACCCAGAGTCTGCTCATAGCCTGCCAGTGCTCGCTGGTACATGTCTTCTGCCTCCTTCAGCTTGCCCTGATTAAAGTAGAGATTCCCGAGGTTGTTGACCATATCGAGAGTAGACGTATGATCCGGACCTAGGGCCTTCTCCTTGCCTGCCAGTGCTCGCTGGTTAAGAGTCGACGTGTGGTGTGGACCGAGGGCCTTCTCATAACCTGCCAGCGCTCGCTGGTACATCTCCTCTGCCTCCTTCAGCATCCCTTGATCATAGTAGAGAAGACCAAGGTTGTTGACCGTATTAAGAGTTGAGGTGTGATGTTGACCGAGGGCCTTCTCCTTGCCTGCCAGTGCTCGCTGATACATCTCCTCTGCCTCCTTCAGCTTCCCCTGACTTTTATAGAGAAGACCAAGGTTGTTGACCGTATTAAGAGTCGACGTTTGATCTGGACCGAGGGACTGCTCATAACCTGCCAGTGCTTGCTGGAACAGCTCCTCTGCCTCCCTCAGTTTCCCTTGATCATAGTAGAGAATCCCAAGGTTGTTGACTATACCGAGAGTCGACGTGTGATGTAGACCGAGGGCCTTCTCCTTGCCTGCCAATGCTCGCTGGTACATCTCCTCTGCCTCCCTCAGCTTCCCTTGATCATAGTAGAGAATCCCAAGGTTGTTGACTATACCGAGAGTCGACGTGTGATGTTGACCGAGGGCCTTCTCCTTGCCTGCCAATGCTCGCTGATACATCTCCTCTGCCTCCTTCAGCTTCCCCTGACTTTTATAGAGAAGACCAAGGTTGTTGACCGTATTAAGAGTCGACGTGTGATCTGGACCGAGGGACTGTTCATAACCTGCCAGTGCTCGCTGGTACATCTCCTCTGCCTCGTTCAGCATCCCTTGATCATAGTAGAGAAGACCAAGGTTGTTGACAATACCGAGAGTGGACGTGTGATGTTGACCGAGGGCCTTCTCCTTGCCTGCCAATGCTCGCTGGTACATCTCCTCTGCCTCCTTCAGCTTCCCCTGATTTTTGTAGAGATTCCCAAGATTGTTGACCGTATTAAGAGTCGACGTGTGATCTGGACCGAGGGACTGTTCATAACCTGCCAGTGCTCGCTGGTACATCTCCTCTGCCTCGTTCAGCATCCCTTGATCATAGTAGAGAAGACCAAGGTTGTTGACAATACCGAGAGTGGACGTGTGATGTTGACCGAGGGCCTTCTCCTTGCCTGCCAATGCTCGCTGGTACATCTCCTCTGCCTCCTTCAGCTTCCCCTGATTTTTGTAGAGATTCCCAAGATTGTTGACCGTATTAAGAGTCGAGGTGTGATGTGGACCGAGGGACTGTTCATAACCCGCCAGTGCTCGCTGGTATATCTCCTCTGCCTCGCTCAGCATCCCTTGATCATAGTAGAGATTCCCAAGGTTGTTGACCGTATGAAGAGTCGAGGTGTGATCTGGACCGAGGGCCTTCTCATAACCTGCCAGCGCTCGCTGGTACAGCTCCTCTGCCTCCTTCAGCTTCCCCTGACTTTTGTAGAGAAGACCAAGGTTGGTGACCGTATTAAGAGTCGAGGTGTGATCTGGACCGATGGACTGTTCATAACCCGCCAGTGCTCGCTGGTACAGCTGCTCTGCCTCCCTCAGCTTCCCTTGATTAGAGTAGAGACTCCCGAGATTGTTGACCGTATTAAGAGTCGAGATGCCATGTGAACCGAGGGCCTTCTCATAAATTTTCAAGGGGTCAACTGATGCGGTGTTCTTCGAATCGTTTATAACGCAACTTCTCCAGCACTATGGAAAGTGGCCGGCACCGAAATCGGTGCTTGTAATGGATAATGCCTCTTTCCACCATTCAGACCGAATCAAGCAGTTGTGTTCTGACGCAGGGGTCAAATTGCTGTATTTGCCGCCCTACTCGCCAGATTTCAACCCTATCGAGGAATTTTTTGCTGAGCTGAAAGCTTATATTAAGAAATCGTGGTCGGCATATGAAGAGAATCACGACCAAGGGTTTCATGTCTTCCTTCGGTGGTGTGTTCATGATGTTGGTGCGAAACAACAGGGCGCAAAGGGTCATTTTCGACATGCAGGTATAACAATAGAAAAGGCATAAGTGATTCTCACAGTGGAAGAATGTGTGCATAAATTGCAAGTCGGATAGTGTGACACTATATTTGACTAGACAATTTCTCTCGAGAACATAGGTTTTCCATTTCGAGAGAAAGATCATTACGTAGAATGCGCGAGATACAGACGCGCTCGAAATCAGTTTCACTACTCTATTCTCTTTGAATCTTTCTCGAACTCTATTCTGAAACACGCTAGTCTATTCTTGATTTCGCATGTCGTAAGATAACGAAACGTATTATAATGCAAAATCACATGATTGGCGGATCTGTAACTTACTTGAAATGATAATACAACCGATCCTCGATATCTCAAATGTCCCTAGTCACTAACAATGAGAGGCTTATTTATCACGGGGGATAGGTACAAACAACATAGGCTGTATTTGCAGAGCTACCACTAATGATATCAACAAATCGAAAGAGAACATAAAAACTGCCTCTCTGGGTACATGAGGAGGGGTCAAGGCGTTTGGCCCTTTTCTCACTCAGGTTGTTTGGTCACCTGAGAGCGGGGTGTGCACTTGCATCTCGATCCTCTACTGATCACTTCCACTTCCAAAAAATTCTGTTACTGCTATGATAGGCACTACGGTATCATTCAACAACTCATTAAATTCTGGACTTCAAGTGGGAGAAAATGATGGTAATATCATCGCACATTTCCATCAGTCCCAAGGTAAGTTGGTAATATAGGATCGTTTACAAAGACCGGGCATGTTAATAGCTGTTTACCACGTCAGCAGAAATATCCCCGGATCAAGCATGTATACGGGATCTGCGGACGACCGACCCTCGTCATGACAAAGACCGTATTGAGGAGATAGGTGGAAGGCTTCTCAAAGACTCATACAGCTGGATCCTAGACAACGAGGAGTTTAACCAATGGCAAGACAGCCAAGGCGGCCCTCTCCTGTGGATCAGGGGTGATCCCGGTAAAGGCAAAACGATGCTCCTGTGCGGTATCATCGAGGAGCTCAAACGATCGATTGGGGACACTGCGAATATCTCGTTCTTTTTCTGCCAAGCCACCGACGCGCGAATCAATAATGCGACGGCTGTTCTCCGTGGCTTGATCTATTCACTTATCATGAAGCAACCATCTCTTCTCACCCATGTACGGAGTCGATACGATCAAGCGGGAAAAGCCCTGTTCGAGGACATCAACGCATGGAACGCCCTCTCGAGGATCTTCACGGATATCCTGAAAGACTTGAACTTACGGAATACCTATTTGGTTATCGATGCCTTAGATGAATGCACAACAGGCCTCTCTCTCCTTCTAGACATGATTGTCCGGGAGTCGCCTACGTACCCAAAAGTGAAGTGGATTGTCTCAAGCCGCAACTGGCCTGACATTGAAGAGCGCCTTCGCACTGCAACCCAGACAGCTGCAATCTCATAGGAGCTAAATGAAAAATCTATATCTGGAGCTGTGAATAAATTCATTCGGCATAAGGTTAACCATTTGGCGACAGTCAAGCAGTATAAAGATGAAACTCGCGATGCGATCTGCCATCACTTGTTGTCAAACGCGCAAGGCACTTTCCTGTGGGTAGCCTTGGTCTGTCAAGATCTTGGTAGAACATCGCGGAGGCACGCTCTTAAGAAGCTGGAAGCATTTACTCCTGGACTGAATGCGTTGTACGGTCGGATGATTGATCAGGTTCGTAATTCGGAAGACGCTAAGCTCTGCAAGCGTATACTGGCTGTCATGTAAATAGTGTACCGGCCTATTCCATTTATCGAACTAGCCTCCTTGATTGAACTACCTCATGATCTCTATGAAGATAATGAAGCCCTATCAGAGATTATAGCAATTTGTGGCTCCTTCCTGACTCTGCGTGAAGACACTATTGTTTTCGTCCATCAGTCTGCAACAGAATTTCTACTCAGAGAGGCGCGAGATGAGATCTTTCCCGAAGGCAAAGCAGCTGGACACTACACCATTTTCTCACGCTCTCTACAAGCCATGTCTAGGACACTTCGACGCGATATTTTCGACATTAAGTTTCCTGGATTTCCTATCGGGAAAGTCACACAACCCAATCCGAATCCATTAGCAGCTGCACAATACGCGTGTGTTTATTGGGTAGATCATCTTCAGGATGGCTGGTGTGATGAAAAAGATGACATTAGTCTTGATGAGGGAGTGTTCCTGGATAGTTTTCTACGGCAGAAATACCTTCACTGGCTCGAATCACTTAGCATTCTGGGAAGCGTATCTCAAGGCATAGCAGCTATGCTAAAGCTTGATGGCCTACTTAAAGTGAGTAATTGCTTATATACAGAAATTTCTCCTTTTTTAACAACCCAATGTATAGGAGAAGCGTGGGTCACAAGCCCTTTTACGTCGGGTTGGAGATGCCTCTCGATTCATTCAATATCACAGGGCAGCAATTGAAAGCAGTCCCCTTCAAGTATACAGCTCATCTATTATATTTAGCCCAATGCAGAGCCTCACGAGGATATGTTTTGAGAAGGAGAGACCCGATTGGGTCTTGAATGAGCCTGTGGTAGAGAAGGATTGGAGTTCATGTCTTCAAACTTTCGAGGGGCATAGCTCCCGGGTCAACTTGATTGTCTGGTCGCAAGATGGAAGCCGACTCGCATCAGCGTCGGATGATAAGACTGTCAGGATCTGGGATCCGGCCACCGGCCAGTGCGTGTCAACCCTCGAGGGGCATTGTGACTCGGTCTCCTCGATTGCCTGGTCGCCAGATGGAAGCCGACTCGCATCAGCGTCCGATGATAAGACCATTAGGATCTGGGATCCGGCCACCGACCAGTGCGTGTCAACCCTCGTGGGGCACAGTAGATCGGTCACCGCGATTGCCTGGTCGCAAGATGGAAGCCGACTCGCATCAGCGTCCTGGGATGAGATAGTCAAGATCTGGGATCCGGCCACTGGCCACTGCGCATCAACCCTTAAGGGGCATAGTGACTGGGTGTCATCGATTGCCTGGTCGCAAGATGGAAGCCGGCTCGCATCAGCGTCGGATGATAAGACTGTCAGGATCTGGGATCCAACCACCGACCAGTGCGTGTCAACCCTCGAGGGGCATTGTGACTCGGTCTCCTCGATTGCCTGGTCGCAAGACCGGAGCCGACTCGCATTGCTTTCTGATGGTGAGACAGTCGGGTTCTGGGATCTGGCGGCTGACCAATACTCGTCAACCGTCGAGGGGCATAGTAAATCGGTCACCGCGGTTGCCTGGTCGCAAGGTGGAAGCCGACTGGCATCAGGGTCCGATGATAAGACGGTCAGGATCTGGGATCCGGCTATCGACCAGTGCGGGTCTAGCCTCCACCTCAGTACCTCTGATTTTCTCCCATTTGGTATCCCATTTGATTTCCCATTTGATGAAATCAATCATCAACAAACTTCGCTTAGCACATTTGATATACGTTCCACTTTTCCTTTCACGTACATTCCTCGATACCCCGGCTTATCGCCAGAACAATATGGGTATGGCTTGAATAATGACCATTCCTGGATAACATATGATGGAGCCAACCTCCTTTGGCTGCCCACTGAATATCGACCATCAGTCCCCGCTCTCTTTGCCATATCTTCCACAACTTTGGCAATTGGTTGCTCGTCAGGTCGTGTCATATTTCTCGCGCTCCCAGAACATATTTCCATCGCTACCATTTGATCAGTGTTTATATTGATATTGCCACAGACCCTGTACCTTTTCCTCTACACGTTGTGAACATGGTGGGCCGAAAGGGATATGAGGGTGTAAAATGGTGGCCAGAACAACCGACCGAATCTCATGCCATCTATTCTCTTTGGTTTGTTTGCAAGTGAGTGATTCTAGACAAGGCATAACATACAACCATGATACGATGGCTATTTTTATGCTCATTATTTATTACTGTACTGAAATACTACCAAGAATGTGGGACAGAGGCAGACTAACCGTAAAAGGTATGGCGTCATGCAAAATAGAGTTCGACAAAGAATTGAAGAGTGTAAAAAGGTGAAACTGATTTCGAGCGCGTCTGTAATTAACCATACACATGAGAAAAATGTATTGTATACTGTAGTAATCAATGCATATTCAGTTGTTATATATGATGATGATCTAAATGCAACTATCAATGTCCAAAGCTAATATATATCTTCAACGCCCAGAAAATTCGTTCAGTCTATCCATTGCGGGGCTAGCCACAGTGTGGTAAGACCGTATTCAATTCGGCACAGCCAAGTCTTCACCGTCGGTCTAGTCAAGTCCGTTTGATCTCATAACAGTAGCCCATTCGTTAATGTCGCGCAGGAAGCGACGGGCTGTTCCAATCTGGATCCCACGTTGAACAAAGAAGCCAGAGTCTGGGTCCTCAAGAATCAGTTCAAGATCTAGGTGGTTTTCCAACGTCACTTGGCATATTTTCCGGAAATCAGCTTTGTACGCCTCGTCGGTGGCGCGTGATTCCAACCATTTGCAGTATTCTCTCACGGCAGCTTCGCGAGGCCCAAGAATAACGACATGCTCATCAGATGGAAGCCTTCGTAGAGATGAAGGAACTGCGGGGGTGACCCCGTTTTGTGCTGGCAGAACATTAATGATGGTTGGAGGATATGATGGCCCGGTTGTCAACATCTCAGTCTTTTTCGATTTCTTTCCTGTCTGACTTTCCAGGACCAGATCTCGACGGATATTACTAGGAACATCATCGTGACTGTCTAGGTTGCCACCACCGTCAACATAATCAATCAGACGTTCTAGATGTGGGGCCCGCATTTTATAGTGTTTCTTATCCTTGGGGTCCTCCCAGCACCAATCAGACTTGAGCGGGCATGAACGGACATCACACCTCATAAGGCCATAAACAAGATCCCAAGTTGCGGGTCGGCCGGTGTTCTCTTCTTCATTATGAATCAGCCTCTCACGCTCTGCCAACATTCTGCTAGTTGCTGACACACGGCCTCTCTTTTCAACTGTCCTTGATACAGGCACGGAGTTACCGTCGTCATCGCCTCTGTAATTAAAGACAAATTCGATTGTGAGCATTTTGCCCATACGAACCAAATTGCTCCATTTACGTAGCTGCTTCTCCACCGGTTTCCAGTCAATAGTAGAAGGGAAAAATCGGTCGAGGTTCTTCTGGCACCGGGAGTCCGCCTTGACAGTAACAGCCGTGCCTTCAGAGCGAACTCGCTGGCCACTTTTCTTCTTCATCTGCAGCATTTCTTCAACGGCTTGTTTCAAAGTATTCACCCAGTAATCCGAGGGAGCTACAACCAAATCCTTTTCGGTCACACTGCCTACCTTCTTACGGTTGAACATAAGCTTCCATGCAATCGTGTAGCACATATATCTTGGAGGGTGCTCGTCATATTCGGCATCTTCATCCCATTCGACTAATGGGAGAAAGTCGAGCTGATCCGACTGCACCTGATCTGTGGGACAACCCGGGGCAGGACTAGAAGAAAATACGGTAGGCGAACGACCAAAGTAACCAGGGGTGGGGGCATATTGTGAATTTTCGTCCCATGGGTCGCCTGTCCGGGTTTGATAGGCATCGTCGCTACAAAGGCTATTGGCCATCGTGAAGATCTTCAAGTGGGGGGACACCTAAGCAAATAGAACTGAAGGAGGTTAGCCAGTAACCTCTGATGTCCAATGAAATCCAAAGCCATGTCTTGATGATACGCAGTGGCGAAGACTTGAATAAGCTTACTGTCAAGCCTTGCCTATCAAATTGAACCCGGACTAAGTCACAAACAGTATCGGGCGCTCTGCAGTAATGCAGCTGCGGGATGTAGAGGGGAATTGTTGACAGATTGCCTGCTCAAAGACCTCGAGGTTTGCTGAGTTTGCATCGAATCTTCCAGTCCAGGCCTCTAATTCTAGATTCTTGTATCTTCCATACTGGTATTTTAAACTCCTGGTTTTTATTACCTGGTTAGGTACAAAACGTCTTATTTACGCGCTATCTACATATGGGTTAGCGTGTCATGTGATTAGGGTTTGAAAGATGATCTCTCTGTTCCCGACATGGAAGGCGATACCGGACGCTACTGTACCTTCTTTGGATCACTCAGCCCTTTTTCAAATTCACAACTCTTCTTTCGAAGACCAAGGATGTGAGTATTCATTTAATATTCAGTATCTACAATAAGCTCTTCGCCCATCTTGAAAAGTCAAAAAGTGCGTTGAAACGGAAGAAGGTTGCTTGGAAGCAGCTTATGCTTAGCTCTCTTGAGGCCGTAGAGAAAAAGCTTTCGCATTATTACAACCAGACCGATGAGATCAATAATAATCTTTATGCGATTGGCACCATTCTCTCACCGCAACATAAGCTTCAGTTTTTTAAAGGAAAGGACTGGGAAGATCCAGTGCATGACTGGCGTACGATCTACCGAACAAGTCTCGAGAAGTACTTTGAATCCTACAAGCGAAGTCATTTAGATACGCAATCAGCTTCAAAAACCTAATCACCGATGGTCGCAATCTCAGAGCTTGAAATGGAATGTCAGCAGGAGACGTCCCAGCCCTTATTATCGGGTCAATATGATGAGCTAAAGGAATACCTGGAGAGTGGTAAGTCTATACTTACTCTATCATCTGGCCTACACTAACCTGTAATCTAGGCACCGTGAGAACTCCGACCGCTGTGTTTTGGAAGGATCACCAGCGCCAATTTCTAGCGCTTGCAAACCTTGCCGGCGATGTGCTTTCTATACCTGCTACTGGCGTAGGTGTAGAACGCCTGTTTAACTCTGCCCGGGATGTCTATCACTACCGTCGAGGTTCACTAAACCTATCAACAATTCAAGATCTTATGATGTTTATGTGTACATCACGATTTGAGATTGAAGATAGTCAACGGACGTTGATTAATGAGTATCTCTCACATGAAGAGATACAGGCTAATCAGGAGGCAAAAAGTACAGACGCTCACCAGCTTAAACCTATCAGTGATTATGATGAGTGTGAATCTGATAGAGCAGATGAAGATGAGATTAAACCAGTCCTTGATCCTACTCGAATGGAACCCTCAGAGCTCCTTCCATATCAACCCTTGGTCAATGGGCCCCAGCCTAAACGCCGACAGCGCGGGCTGTCGGAGAAAGAGGAAGGAGAGCACGAAGATAATAGTGAGCCCGGCCTCCCTGATACACAGAACCGGCATTCAGGCAGGGTTCGGAAGCGCTCAAGGCTTCTTGATGGATATGAAGTTGCTTAGTCTGTACGATTTATATGTATGATAGACGCTGTAGTTAGAACTCAATTGAATCTAAGATTAACCATTCAATACGCTCCCAGATTCAACGCGGTCACAGGTATGAATTCATAATCAAATTGTAATTCAAATACTCAAAAATACAGATCAAAACAGTATATTTTATGCAATCATGGGACTGTCTATGTTTGTCTTGTTTGTCGGCCCTCAAAATGTTTGGAGGGCCGTATAGTGAGGGCGGGCAAAAGACCAGCCCGACCCGCGGGCGGGCGATGCCCTCCGCCCTCAAAATTGCGGGTCCGCAGGCGGCCCTCAGAGGGCGGCTCGCGGGCGGATGCGAGGTCTATGGCTACCTATAATATGGACTATCGCCTCTTGGCATTAGGGGTGGAGAAATAAAGAAAGAGTGTAGGTGGTGAGACCAATTTTCGGAAGTACTGTACTGTACAGTTTTCGAAATCAGTTATACCATCACGCTTTTGGGACTTAATTGCTGGAAATAAATTCGAAATGAGCTAATCTATTTCAGTTCACCGCTCTATAATTTCGGCAGAACTTTCATCGTGGACAGATGCTGAGTCATCATCATGATGAACGCCCCATGACTTTCGTGAAGAGCATATGTTTTAATGGTATTGTTCTGTCATCCTGATATTACTGAGTTGGAGCCGCTCACACAATCATACAACTATGATACAATAACTTTGCTGCAAGGTCGCCACTCTGTGGTCTAGGGGGCGATCTCAATCAAGCGAAATTATTTTCAACCCTGCCTGAGTGGAACCTGACTGTTTGTTGCAGCTGATTCAGACTATAACCTTCTGAGATACCAAACACCCAAACTTATCCCCACACCTTCCATCAAAGATGCAAATCGAGATACAAAGCACTTCACTGTAAGCGGTCGTGCTTAAAGCTTCTTCCGTCAATTTCAAAGCCGGGGGAGACTGTGGCCGAACCAGGCTTTGAATCATGAAATTTAAATGATGAACATGTCATAATGCAGTTTTTTCCAATGTAATCAAGAACTTCACAATCTCGTGGATAACACACATTGGATGACTCTCACACGTTCCTTGCAAGGTGGCTTGCAGGGGAAAAAGCAAAAGCAAGTCGGAGAAAGCTCTCCCTAATTCACAATTGTCTTGGCATCCCAAGAGGATGTGAGCTTCTTCGAGACTCGTCGGAACTTCCGTGTAAAAAAGAAAGGAGAGAAACCTTATGGAGTCGCTCAACTCGAGGTGTTTCAGTCGGGGTAAATAGAGTTGTTGGTCATCTGAAGCCCGTGGTATTAATATGGATTTCTTAATACTCACTTTCTCAATATTGGGACTTATGGAGAAGAAAAAAGCAGAAAGATTCTTCTCAAAGATTGAATGTTCCAACGAAAGTTCTGTCAGCGATTGTGACATCCCAGTGAACACAATATTGTCATATTCGAGCCATTTAAAAGCGATCGAAGAAAGATTTCGAAAATTTGCCAGATCGACGGAAATGACATGGTTAGGAAAGCGACCAGGTATTCCATCATAGTTGAAAGAAAGACAGCGAAGAGACGGTAGCTCGGGTAATGACAAATTCTCTGGTACATCGCCAAATTCAACCTCTTCTAGTAAGGAGAATGGCGAGTCATTGCCTTGGATACTCGCAGCTAGGTCGCTGTGACCGCAGGCTAGTGGACTTGCATACGGTATCGACTCAGTATAGTATTTATCATGAGACCTGCTTTTTTGAATTAACGCGCGTGCCCAGAGTGCTAAGAAAGTTGAATCAACCTACCCAGCATCGATCTTGCTTAGATGAATATGGCCGTCATTATAGCTAACCGAGAATTCTTGTATGTGTAGAGACCAAGTTGACAAGACTTGTGATACCCTACTAACTGGAAGTAATTTGCCGTTTAAGCGCCATATGGAGATTGTTTCAGGGTGAAGTGAGAATTGGCGAAAAAGTTGCTGGGCAATGCATTGTTGAAGGCTCCCTGAGGTGTTGAAAATAGCCCAGAGGTCTCTAATATCTGACAACTAGTCTATAAATATGCGAGTTTGAAGAAACGTGAGGGGTTTCTTACCTGATCAAGTATTATATAAAGGATCTCCAGAGGGAAATGGAGCAGCATTGAAATGCTCAATAGCTAGTATTCTAGCCAAAAATAACGAAGAAAAAGTTTTGCTTTAGAACACTTCTGGAAATTGCTCTTTCTGTCGATCTGTTGTTTTAAGTCTGCAGTTTATGCTTTGTAACTGGTACTCACATGCTTGCAAGCCAATTCCTATGAAATATGCCCACGGTGCCCTTATTGGAGGGTTGAGTGACACTAGATCTACTGTTCATTAAATGTTGAACGAACTGGGTCATAACATTTCCCGGATACATTACCCCACTCGTGGCGCCGAAGCTACGAAACCTATCTATCACATCATGGCATCAACTGCCCGCAGCTCTAAGTCCCGACCCCGGATCTTCGCTCTTTGATGTAAATAAAAATTTAGATATAGTAAACAAAAGGTAAGGAACCATCGACAACTTCTACCCAAATATAAATTACCATAGGTTTGTCGGGCCACCATTCTTTTTGACAGGGGTGATAATTTACCCCCGGTTTGCTGGTTGCAATCCCACGTCAATACACTTTGCCACTTTGGGCATTCCCTGCCTAGCTCTAACCCTGATCTCAATTACCAAAAAACCCCTGATATAAAGTGTATACAACTGTTAAAGGGGCCTTTTATCCCATCACTTTCGACAGCTACTGTCAAGCTAATGTTAGAGCGCTTGTTTTGGTGGTATTGTTTGGTTATCCTCAACGCACGACTTATAGGTTAGGGGTAAACCTGACTCCTTTCACTAGTATAAAGGATAAACTGACAGGCTATATCACTCGAGGGTCAAACTTTCTCATAATATTTTGTGTACGGGCATTTAAATGAATCACGTTATTTAATTATAATCGTATTCACATTAATACTGCAGCCACTGATCATCATCAGGTTTACGTTACAGTAGCACCCGACACCGCCTTCCATGTGGAAATATAAAGATGCTTTTTCAAACCCTAATCACTGATACTGGAAATTAACACGTTCCATACCTAACAGTAATAATACCAGTTTGAGAAACGTATCCTCTGGATAGATAACTTTTCGTTCCGAGGAGCCTCCGATTCTTAGTGTTCACTGCGCCTCAGGGACGGGGCGATATCCAATCATGTGATTAAATTGCATAGAGAGTCAAAATCCCTGTCTCGTCACCGCTTTAACATGCTATATCTATCCTCCCGCCCTATTCAAGTCTAAGTTCCTAGATCTGTAGTCTCTAGACGTTTCCCCCCAATCAAGGAACATCAGTCTACGTACCTCTG